GAGGCTTAATTTTCTAATTTTTAACGATACAATAGCGACGATTATTATTTTAAAAAATTTTTGTTAGGCTTAACATCGATGAAAATTCAACACAAAGTAGGTTAATAGCGATATACTAATATACTAATTACATGGGATATAATAATATACTACAGTAATAATAGATTTTTTCATACTTTTCGGTTATCCGCCCTTTCAATTATCCGACCAACCCCAGTCCCCAATTAGGTTGGATAATCGAGGCTCTACTGTAGCTGCTTGCAAGAGCTTAAAATTGTCATAAAAATTAAATGTTGTATTGTTTTTACAAATAATTCAAATAGTGCACTTGTTCACCCGTAATTTAATTTTTAATAATCTGATAGTGGAAAGTTAAATCACGATTCAGACATAAGAGTCAAAAGTTAAATCTAGAATTAATGTACAGTAATAATCAATTTTAACCAAAATTCAAGTTTAAATTTTATTATAGCTTTAATTTTAAGCCATTAGAAACTTACTTTTAATAAAAGATTGGCTTCACATTTGTTAGATATTAGAATTGGTACACAACCTTCTGGAATTTTTACATCTTCATTAATTATTTCTATTTTTGAAGAGTATGTCAGCACTTTTATCAAATTTTCAAATGTTTCTAATACTGATTTTAATTCATTATCTTCAGATCTTAAATATACTGAAAAAATAAAATTTAAAAAAATATGAAAATTAATTACATTAATATAAATTAGGTTATTTATATATATGTTACTGTGAAAGACTGAAATTAGAGAATGTCGACACATACAAAATACGTTGGTGAAAGACCGAATATTTGGTTATATTATTATACATTCAAACAATCGCCAGTGTATGTCAACAACCACAGATAAGCTTTGGTGGAGGTCGAAACGACACCCGAGAAGCTGATGTCGACAGAGAGGTGACAGTCTGTTGCCAAATCCTTTGTGGGTAGCAGAAGGTAGGACAAGATCGTACCTCTTTTCCTGGCAATGGTTTGGTGGAAACCGTCCACTTTGTCACTGGATGGCGTTTTTGTTCTTTTGAATGGTTTATCAGGTCGAGTGGCGGAGGATGAGAGAGGTTGTTGGTATCCGAATAAAAGACACCATTAACAGATCAATTCGTAATCACGTAATAATGTAATTGGTTCGTAATTTGTAAAGAAAAGTTACTTTTTATAGATGAGATTTCTTCTCAAGAAATATCGCTGACAGAAGCAGCTGCAGCTAATTTGAAAAGTGGAGGGCAAGGCTATACACGCTGTCATTGCAAAAAGAAGTGTTCCACGAATAAATGCAGTTGTAAAAGCAAGGGATTCTTGTGCAATTCAAAGTGCCATAACAGTTTTAAGCTATTGAAATAAATAAGACTGTATAACGTTAATCACATAATTTATGTGTAAGTTTATTATTGTATTATTTTCTTTAATGAATTGTAGAATGTACCATTCGTTTTAGGTTTAACAGTTTATTTACATGTGCTTTCTTACTTATTACTTAAGCTTTCTCCTATTTTGACATATTAAAAAGTTGCATTTTTGTCTTAACATAACAAAAATATTTTTATTCAACATTCACCATCAGTGCATGCTGAATGTCTACATTTTCCGGTGTAAGTGAGAAATAATGATATTTAGCAAATATTTCGTACATACACAAAATGACTGTGTAAATGCTGACATTCACTGGAGAATCTCAACATTCGCCAGATATTGGTCATTCACAGTAAGATATATATTTTTATTCAACATTCACCATCAGTGCATGCTGAATGTCGACATTTGCCGGTGTAAATGAGAAATAATGATATTTAGCAAATTTCGTACATACATGAAACGACTGTGTGAATGCTGACACTCACCGGAAAATGTTGACATTCGCCAGATATTGGTCATTCACAGTAATATATATGTATATAATATACTGTATNTACAAGTTAATTAAATCGAAACAAAGAAATAAAATAATATATACATTCAGTAAAAATTATCTTGATTATTCTTTCCGCTTGCATAAACTACGTCAACTCATTGTAGAAGGATTTCCATGCCGATGACAATCCGTTGGCATCTCTATGATTAATACAGTTTGTGTGCAACTGCGCCTTGTGAATTTCTAGTTTTTCCAGATGTTTTATGGCCTGCCTGGATCTTGTAGCTTTAATGATCGACGCCCGATCCCAAAAAACCTCGATATTCTGTTGCTTGGCAAAGGCAGCAAGCACCGTAGAGTCTACGTTTTTATTTACCGAGTGCTTATGTTCAGCAATTCTTTTCTTTAAGTTTCTCATGGTTGCTCCTATGTATACCAAATTAGAATTAAATCTACGGTCTTTTAACAGTATTGATTATACCCCTGCCAGATTTTATTTATATAGTGCAGTCCAGTAAGAAAGTGTTTTATTTTATTTATTTACAGCCTCACAGTTACACAGATTAAAATTCTTTTATTTTCAATTACCTGTACAGGTAATTGAAAATAAAAGAATCCTGGGCCAGTTCTTTTATTCCAGAAGGTTCTAAATTTATTTAATTATAATTATTAATTTACTTAAGAGATGGCACCTAACGTCTACCTCTAATGTCAAATTACTTTATACTAATCATTTAATTAGCCATATTATAGCCCGATATTAAGGCAATTGTTTGGTGATTTATTATAAATTATGAAATTAATTTAAAATTATCATAAATGTATTCTGAAATCTGGGAGTTCAGATTGATGAATTGAATTGTTAATTCAAAATATGTCAAAACAATGGATTAATTTGCTCACTAGCTAATTAGACAATAAAATTAATAGAGAGGTTGAGGCGCACGTTTTAAACGTGTAAACGTGTACGTGTGACGTTCGGTGCCGCTTTCCCGTAAGCCCAACATATACAGATGAAAACTTTTATTAATTAATTATTAATTTTTATATTTTTTGATTAATTTTTATCGGATAATTATTTACACATTTAAATAAATTGAAAACTGTATTAAATTGAATGTTTTCATGTTACATTTACTTAATTAACTCTCCTTGATATTTTTCATTTAATATATTCAAATGGTTAATTTCTTTCAAAAAAACAATTTCGGATATTCATAAGTTAATTATGACTAAAATATCTATCAATGAAAATAAACATTCATGGTGTATAAACAATTTTCCAAATATATCTTATAATATAATCGAGATGGGTTGATAATGATAATAATAATAAGTGCAGAGCCCAAATGGTTAAGAGTTGAAAGTTGAAATTTGGTACAGTTAGAATATGTCATGAGAATGTACTCTAAGAAGGGAATTTTCAAAATTCTCCCATGGGGAGAGGGACAGGATTAAGGCTTACCACGAAGAACTCTGCTTCTATTATACTATTTTAGATGCAGTTTTCTGCATTTTTCATTGTGTTTTAATAGGGTATATGCCATGAGAAAGCACATTAAGAAGGGATTTTTCAAAATTCCCACTGCGGGGGAGAGAGAGAGGATTAAAGATTACCCCAAAAAACTCGGCTTCTACTGTACTATTTTAGATGCCTTTTTTGCATTTATGTGGGAAATCAAACATATTTTTAGACCCTTCTAAAAATTCTCAACGATATTTAGTGTTCCATCATACATAAAGTTGACAAGGGGAGCGCATGCACATAAGTTTGCTTTAATCGAACTCTTCATCTTAATGTTTGATTTTATGTTCAAATTTGTGTTTATGAATGATTCGGGAAGATCCAGCTTATTTTTCAAATTTAGTAAACCTGAAGAAGAGCCCAGAAGGGGTTACAAAAACATTTGTTATTAATCATTTAGTGGTACTATGCACCAGTTAGTGGTTCCTGTGAATCTTAATTATCGTTATCCCAGTGTGGTAAGCAGATATCTAAAAATTTATTTTAGATATCTGCTTACCACAAATTTAAAAAAAGTGATATTGGAAGTGATATTTAAGGAATAATTAATTACTCCTTAAAGTAAGAAATACAAAATCTTAGAACAGAATATTCTTTAGACATTTTGGAATTCTAAAGTTTTGAAAAAATGCTGAAAATTTCTAAATAATATAATGCCCTTTAACATTCAAATTTCTAAAAAATTATTTTAAAACAATAATATTCTTTCTATTCTTTTAAGAAGTGAAGCTGGGTCAGGATGATTAAAATATTTAAACAGTACTAACATAGTTTTAAAACTTCTAACTTTATAATTATTTAGAATTAAAATTATTCTTTTTGTAAGGAATCATAAAGAGAATGTCTTAATGATAATATTTATTTCATGATGATTATATATGAGAAATTATCATTTCAAAACAAATTTGAAATGATAATTTCTTTTGATAAATTTGAAACATTTATTGTAAATGTATCAAATTTATTTTGAAATAAAGTCAAAATTTTTAATATTAAATGAAAATGAATAAAACTTAGCATTATAACTGAAGATTAAAATGAACATAAAACTAATTAATATGCATCTATGTCCTTAATTTAATCAAAATTATTCTTTCAATCACTATATCAGTGTATTTCTATTAATAGGACTTATCATACTGGTGTATAAGATTACAGCCTCACATATAAATAAAATCAAAACCTTTAAACAATCCAGCAAATCGTTTTAATATCTTAAAAACGCTTTCAAACGCTTTAAGCGTTCATCCTCAGTTATCATTATGAATCGAACGAAGAATTCGAAATTACGCAAAACCAAATTCAAAAAGCGGTTACATAAATGTACGTTAACATTTACCAAGTTTAAATATTGCAAAAATTATACAAGTTAATTAAATCGAAACAAAGAAATAAAATAATATATACATTCAGTAAAAATTATCTTGATTATTCTTTCCGCTTGCATAAACTACGTCAACTCATTGTAGAAGGATTTCCATGCCGATGACAATCCGTTGGCATCTCTATGATTAATACAGTTTGTGTGCAACTGCGCCTTGTGAATTTCTAGTTTTTCCAGATGTTTTATGGCCTGCCTGGATCTTGTAGCTTTAATGATCGACGCCCGATCCCAAAAAACCTCGATATTCTGTTGCTTGGCAAAGGCAGCAAGCACCGTAGAGTCTACGTTTTTATTTACCGAGTGCTTATGTTCAGCAATTCTTTTCTTTAAGTTTCTCATGGTTGCTCCTATGTATACCAAATTAGAATTAAATCTACGGTCTTTTAACAGTATTGATTATACCCCTGCCAGATTTTATTTATATAGTGCAGTCCAGTAAGAAAGTGTTTTATTTTATTTATTTACAGCCTCACAGTTACACAGATTAAAATTCTTTTATTTTCAATTACCTGTACAGGTAATTGAAAATAAAAGAATCCTGGGCCAGTTCTTTTATTCCAGAAGGTTCTAAATTTATTTAATTATAATTATTAATTTACTTAAGAGATGGCACCTAACGTCTACCTCTAATGTCAAATTACTTTATACTAATCATTTAATTAGCCATATTATAGCCCGATATTAAGGCAATTGTTTGGTGATTTATTATAAATTATGAAATTAATTTAAAATTATCATAAATGTATTCTGAAATCTGGGAGTTCAGATTGATGAATTGAATTGTTAATTCAAAATATGTCAAAACAATGGATTAATTTGCTCACTAGCTAATTAGACAATAAAATTAATAGAGAGGTTGAGGCGCACGTTTTAAACGTGTAAACGTGTACGTGTGACGTTCGGCGCCGCTTTCCCGTAAGCCTAAAAGTTTGACGATGGTGTTTGGAATGTTGAGCGTGATTCCACCGACTATCCAAACACCATTGTCAAACTTTTAGGCTTACGGGAAAGCGGCGCCGAACGTCACACGTACACGTTTAAAATGTGCGCCTCAACCTCTCTAATACAGTAATATGTCGGTTTTCATTGATAATCCATCCAAAGACAATTGGTGAAATCTGAAACCAACGAAAACCGAGGCAATTATTTCCATATAAATTATATAAATCTAATTAATTCGTTCTAGACACTCCAAAATACATACCAAAACACATTTTATAGAGAACAAATATAGTGTTTAATACTAAAAGCTACAATAAGATATACAGTACAAAAATACTACAATAAGAAATTATAGAAGGAATATAAAAGACTAATTTAAAAAATAAATGAACATTTAACATGGCATTTGAAGGGCTGCTGGCTGTGGAAACTTTCTTTGGTCCCATGATGAAGCTAAACGGAAAGGAAAGTAATGGAATTGTTTTGCTAGATGTGTGGGGTAATGCTCACCCAATGAGAAACAATGCCACACTGAGCAGGAAAATGTATGGGTCACTCTTTGTTTTTGCAGAATTAGCAGTGAAGTCACATGGGTATGCTGATGAAATCGGGGGCAAACCAAAATCCAAGACAAAGTTTTTGCTGAAAAAACCAAAACTGAGGATAACCAAAGTCAACAAAAACCAAGGTATTATCATATATATTTTTTCTTTTATATATATTTAATGTTTTTCAGTGTTAGTTAACTGTATTGTTAGACATGTTACAACTCTGTATTGGAAATTATTACTTTTTATTCACATACACGTATAGATAATGTAGAAGAATTTAATATTTTTCTTATGTTTTCTGTTACTTTTATAATAATAAATTTATGTAACTTTTATTTTATTATTATTTACTAATATATTCTTACAGCCATATATGAATATATATTGAAAGAATAAAAAATATACCACAAAAATTATTGATTATTCAGGAATTTTGAGTGTTCAACTGAATTTCTGATTACTTCTGTAGCTTTGTAATTTGTATTGAAAAATCAACCAAAATGTAAATGAAATAGTTATAGACTGGCTTTTTTCCACTATTGTTAATTGGATTAAAGAAATAAAATGTAAATATACAATTAAGAATTACATTTCCAAGTAAATAAGTATTTCATAATTCGAAAAATATTACATAAGATGATTAATAAATCCTAAATTTTATTAAATATAAAATAATTATACTCTACTTTGATTAATTAGTTCTTACTTCATCAACTTCAGGATAAGAAGTAACACATATACTTGGAGGTGCATCCATTGTTCTTCTTGGCATTCTCTGAAATAATTCTTCTGTAACATAGGGCATGAATGGACTTAAAAGTTTCAATCCAGTCTCCACACAAGTATATAATACTTGTTTAGATGTATAAATTGCTGTTTCATTATTACTTTGAAAAATACTTTTAAGACATTCCTAATTAAAAGAAAAAAATTATAAATGATTTTTAAATTACAATTTATAAGTATCATATTAAAATTACCAGATAAACATCACATAATTCATATAACCAAAAATTATAAGAAGCAGTTGTTGCTAAGGGAAAGTCATATTCTTCGAAAGCTCTATTACACATCTCTACAGCTGCACTAAGACGACTTAAAATCCATTTGTCAATTGGTTGTTCATCACCAGTTAACTAAAAATAAAACAATTGAATTAATTAACACTTAATGATTTAAAATAATTAATGATATAAAATTATTTTATTATACCTGAAGATGCTGTAAAGGTTTGAAATTATCACCTAATGATGTCAAAGCAAACTTAGTTGCATTCCATAGTTTGTTACAAAATTTACGATATCCAACAACTCTATTAATATCAAGGTTAATATCTCGTCCTTTAACAATAAAATATGTTAACTTTTAATTATTATTCATGTTATTGATGTAAATTTTTAATTGTAAAACTTTCATAAACGTTTACACATTGATTTAATCTTTTAAAAAATAAATAGATTCATTATCTGACCTAAAAGTATTTCATATAATTTACCTTGTAGCATATAAGCACATAAAGCAAATCTAAGTGCATCAGTACCACATTCTGGAATGCCATTTGGAAAATCAGCCTTCTGACCCTTTTTTGCTTTCTCAATTTCATTTGGGTCAAGATTAGAATCCAATAACTTCTTATGAAGACCCTAATTTCAAATTTAAAAATTTTAATTTAAAACAATAACTATAATTCATTATTATCATCATATATATATATTTACCTCTAGAGGAATACCATATATAACATCAGTAGGATCAATAACATTTCCTAAAGATTTACTCATTTTCCGACCATGTGCATCCCTTATGATGGAATGGAGAAAAACCTGAAAAGAAATAATTCAGTTATAACTTAATTTTAAGATGATTATTTCTAGAGGCAGTGATACATAAATAAATTTGTTAAATCACATTTATGTAATAAAATCAAAGAGTGAACTGAATCATTACACAGTGAAGTCCTATTTTTATGCTTTAGTAAACTAAGAGCATAAATAATATAGAATTTTTGTATAAAATATAAAAATCGTAAATTAAGAACTCATATAAGATTATACAGAATAAGTAATAAATAAATTATTTTAATACTCTGCTGGAGTGGATTACTGAATTAGTTTATTAAAAGTAAAAAGTTATTTTTATAACTTTTTTCATTTTTGAAACCTCATCAATATTAAAGAACGTTGAAATCAGTTGCTTTCTAATTCTGGCAACTACATAAACAAACATCATCACTAAACCCGATATATTATAAAGTTACACACCAACCAATGCCAAATATTATTGAGCTAGAAATGGCTATAATATTAATAATTTATAAGACAATTTGGCACTAGAGTTAGGTATTAGGTACCGTCTCTTGATAAATGTAATAATTATAATTTTAATTAAATAATTTAGAACTACTCGAAGAAAAGAATTGGCCCAGAGCAGGACTCAAACCCGCAACTCCTGCTTACTGTGCAGATGCGTTGCCAATTACGCTACCCAGACCTCTGCTCTGATCTCCTCTTCCAGTATATATGATATGTTATAACCATTGACAGTCGTAAGCTTATATATACTGGAAGAGGAGATCGGTAGCATAATTGGCAATTAATACAGGTATCCCCATACAACACAGTTTTGCTTTAACATGGTTCAAGAATTGGAGATATTCCCATACAAAATGTCATAATTTTTAATTTCAAACACCGCAATTCAATATTTTTTTTTATTCAAGCAAGCATGCATACATACATATTGTCTTATATTTGCTCATGGATAATAACAAAAAAACAAAGACACTGAGTTCAGCGTTACATGCAACGCTGAACTCAGTGTTTTTTTGTTATTATATATTAATTTGGCATGTTAGTCATCCTATTGATTGCTCATGGATTTTAAATTATTGAAAATTTTAATGTTTAGTATGTTTAGTCCAGTTTTCTTTAGTGAGAACCAGCTGTACAATTTTTCTTCTTCCTTGTTCTAGCTTTCCTATAAACCAGATGTCACTATCATTGTTATGGTGCTCTAAATGAACCCAAAAGATTTGTTGCTGTTTCATTTTAAAAGTTCTCTTAGGCAAATGCAAGCAAATGAAAATATCAGATTTTAAAAAAAGTAGAGAAAAATCAATATGTTGCTGATACTTCAGATTAGGTTCAACAGGAAAGCTCAGAAGATGAAGATATTTCACCAAAAAAGAAAATGTTTTAACTGTTTAGCAGTGAAGAAAAAGTTAATATTAATGTGTAGTACTTTTGATTGTGATTGTTTATTAAAGAAATTAACTAATTAATTAAATTAACTAACATATTTTTCTTAGTTATGAAAAAGAATAGTATACTTTTTGCTAATTTTTGAAACTTAACCCTATGGGTTAAGTTTCAAACCTTGTTTTGTACTAGTTCTTTGTTTCTTATAGCACAGATTCACATAACATGGCACTTTTTTGAAACTTAACTACCATGTTATACAGGGGATATTTGTACAGAGTCTAATGGATTTAATTTGTAGCAGGATTTTAACTATCAACTTTAAAGTTTTGCACATGTAAACATTCATATTTTATTTATTTGTATATTNTAATCTAATTCTTACATCTATAACTTAACACTAGGATAAAATAAGTTATTGTTCTTTACTAGTGACACTTGATAATAGCATCAATTCTGTGTGTTAACAAAGAATATAATTCCTTTCCAAGATGCCACTGTAAAACATCATGACATCAACTTGAAAGTAGCCATTAAACAGCCAATATTTTTTTAAATTAAAATTTAATGGTAAGTAAGCTACTAATGATATGTAGTTAATATGTATATGAATCTGCACATGTAATACTTTTATGAAAATTCAGCTATTTAGACTAGTATCATAGCTTTCCATAGTCATTTTCTATAACTCATCACCTTCTCAGTCCACATTAAGTGGAATTTGTGGGACTCTATTGTACTAATTATAATTTCATCATTATTTGCAATCTTCTATTAATGTTATAATTTAATATATAATAAAGTTTTTCAACATTCTAATTATTTCAAATTTGTATGCAAATAATTATTGATTACTTAAGTGTTTTGAATTTAAATAAAAATTATAATTTAAAGTAAAGAAATTTACTTTTCTTTTGAAAAGAATTATTATAATTTCCTGCCCATTATCTGTAGCAGCATATAATCTGTAGAGCAAGTTTTCATTGATAAAAAAATTTTTTGTCATCTAATTTGCACAATATATAAACATCTTACAAACCCAATGTATTAATAATCATCCAACCATCAGCCAAATTAATCTAGCAATATTATGCATAATATTGCCTGATTAATTTGACTGATGGTTAGATAATTTGCTTAATTGTTTATTTGCTTCATTGGCTCATCAGCAATGAGATAATGCAATTTGTAAAAACATTTAATAAGAAAAAGTATTCCAAAATTTAGAAAAGAGACTATATGATTCATTTTAAAACAATACAATAAAAATTTAAAACCCAGAATTATGAAATGCAGTAAATCACTAATTTACAACCTCGTGAAGCTGGTATATTAAAAAATATCATTTTCAAGTTCAACACAATTGATTGTACTTAGTAATGGCATGGTATAACAATTACATGATAACTTTAATACTGCAATGGATAATAAATGCATATTATTTAACAATAATGTATAAATTTATTCATGTTTAACTACAACTCAGATTTGAACTATATTAGACTCAAAAACTGATAACAAACCTTTTTTTTCAGAGTTGCTTGATATAGAATTATCATTCTAATCTCAAATTTATAATAGAATTAAATTGAATTTTATTATTACATCACTTTAAAAAATTAAATAAATAAAAAGTAACAATAGAAATAGTATTTTCTTAGAACAATGTTGCCGTTGAGAACATATCACACAGGAACACTTTCAGAGGAAAAAGGTTGTTTTATTGGTGTGAACAGATATGCATTTCGGGCTTAACACCCCTCTTCAGTCCTGAGATAGCGACAGTTAAACCAACATGACTCATAAGAAGATATACATGTAGTTGAAAAAGAAAAAAAGGAGCTAAAAGTTCTTTTGGCTCCACACATATACACATTAGGTTAGTATAGCATGTGCTGTAGGATGTGAAATAATTCTGATAAGATGTACAAAGAACATAGACAAGATATGAGAGGTTAAAAGGAAGTGAGTAATCCTTGTAACATACCTGTATGACTATGTAAGTTAAATATCTAGAGCTAAGCTTAAAACATATTTTAACAAAGAATAGATTGGAGATGTTATTTTTGTATGGCTAATTGACGTGTAAACAATCATATTCCATCTGCTAGTAGAAGTGAATATACCCTTGCCCATAACAATAAGATACCTTTCATGTTTTATCATGTTGAGAAGACTTCTTAATTTAACAAAAAGTAAAATGATTTTACTTTTTTGATGATATAAAAAATTGTCACAGATTATATACCATAGTTATAATCCAAGGCATTAAAATTGGAAGGATTTTATAAACACTTAATCCACAGATTATAGACAGGAAATTATGATAACAGGAAACCCTAATCATCTTTAATGGTCCAACCCTGGTATTTTGTATTGTTCTTTACAACTGTTCAATTCAATTTCAGTTATAGAAAATTATTTGTAGAGAATAAATTATATTACAGTATTTTAAAACTAAAGAATAATTTTCAAATTGCTTTTTGGTTTATTTTAGACCAAAAGTAATTTGAGCAAAGAGGTTAAACCTAAAAAATTTTTAGTATTTTTGGTATATAATATCAATTTGTTGTTATGTTTGCATGTCTATTTCACTATTTTCTTCTTGATTAGTTCTTAAAAAAAAAAAAACACCATAAAAGCTCATTAGTGTATATTTTTTTATCACAAATTTTTGTTCATAACTAATCAGGTTTTTAAAACTTCTATAAATAAATTGCCATACTAACCTAATGTTTTCTAGCCAATGATACCATGTTTTCTCATGCATTTCAGGGATAATTTTCAAAGATCCATTTCGGACAGCCTACATAAAAATATAAAAAGTTAAAATTTTGCATATACAAAGTCATAACCACTTCCAGAGAAAATAATATAGTAATTTATTATAATAATTTTCAATATTAGTTTTACTGATTATTAATTGCTAGAAGGAAATTATAATTTTCACTCTTACTATATTTAACTAACACTAGATTACATCAATTACAGGTTTCTAGAAATGGTTTTAAGAAACCTGATGATGGTCTTATAGGAATAGGCTGAAAACATTAGTAATTAAAAATTTTCTCTCAACAAATGCATAGGTGGTCATAAATTTGTAATTTATTCTGTTGAGCACATCTGAACTGTACATCAATTACATTTTTCATAATAATCATTTAATTTTTTTTGCAAAAATTTCTCAACGTATGATGATAAAAATATTTACAATTTCAAATTTATACAAAAAATAATAAATTTATTAGCATACTTTACACAAAATTATTCTATAAACTAAATTAGTCAACAATGACTTTCTATGCTTGAACTATTGTAAAATTTATATATAATAATATATCACATTGTCCTAAATATTAGTCAATGTTTCTTCCCAATTTTAAAATAGAAAAAGAAATCCAGCAATGAGTTGCATAACTTTCCCAGCAAAAAATTTTAAATTGAGATGGTGCCATCTGTTATTTTGTTTTAAAAACTTTTTATATTATGAATTACTATAAAATGATCGAAAGTTTAATTTTGAGAGTAGAGATGTGTTTTATAAAAACATTGTAAATGCTAATAACGAATAAAATCTTCATTAAGTCTGACCTCACTCAAGATATGACACAAGATCCCCTCTATCTCCTCACCCCTTGACCTGTACCACCAAAATTCAATAGCATCAATCTGCTAATACAGAAATCTCACTGCAAAATTTCAGAAATTTTTGATAAAAAGCACAAGAGTTATTACCCTTCAAAATGGCTGAACAAAATCATTCCAACACTCACCCATATACACACACATTAACATACAAAAAAAAAAAAAAAAAAAAAAAACCAACTTTATTTGCATTTCTTAATATTTCAGGGTCTCAAGTACAAAAATGTAAAATTAAAATTTTGGAAATCATTTTTTGATTGCCATACTTTCCCTCTGTTATAATAGTCTGGAAAAAAAAATTGCTCGAGTCTCAACTTATATTCAAATCCAATTTAACCTTTCTTCAATTTCAATAACTGTCTGTAATACACATCACATAGAGTTAAACTAATGCTAAAATTCAGTGCATCAATTGTTTAGCAATGCTATCATCAGCCAAGTTATGACCTGTCATGCTGCAGTTTGAAAATTATGTACAGGAATTAAGCCTAAGTGTTTGGCATGATTGTGAATAATTGTTTAGTTAATTGCCTTTATCATATTCAACAAAATTTTTTTCGTAACTCCTTTTTTTTTTTTTATCTTACTCTTAGGAGTCTTTACTAATTGAGTAATCATCAAAACCTGAAGGAAGGTTTGCTGAAAATTTAACACAAAATTTATTCTGTTGTAAAGTGTAAATTTCTATTAAAATTATAAATTTATATATATGATATGGTTATATGTTTTAGACTTTATAAGTGTTTTATAAAGTCTAAAACACACATAAATTTATGTATTTGATATGATTAATTACAATAGAAATTTATGTGACTTTATATATATGAGTTTAAAAATAATGTAAAATATAATCTGAAAATATCAAAATGATCATTTCAGAATAGAAATCCTTAAAACTAAATATACAAAAAATTTATTTTTCTTGAATTGAGTTATGAAATTTTTTCTATCTCTAAAATGAAGATATAAGTTAAATATAAAGGCAAATGTAGAAAGTTTTATAGCATCATATATAATAAATAATTAATTAAATGTAGGAAATATTTAATAAATTTTTCTAAAATTTTCATAATTATATTTACTTACTTGAGCAGCCTTTTGTGCCATATCATTACAATTTAAAAACCATTGAACTTTCAAAAGTGGTTCTACAATATCTTTTGAACGACTAAAAATACACAAAAAAAAATAAAATAATAATAATAATAAAAAATAAAAAAACACTAAAAATATTAAATATACAATATTCAAAACTTATTCAAAAGAATTATAAAAATTGTTTACATACTTGCAAATGGGTACTACCATAGGATTATCTTTGCAATCTCTATATAATCCAATATCTTCAAGTGCTTTTAACACAGCTTTTCTTGCTTCAAAACGCTTTAACCCCTATATTTAAGAATATATAATTTCAAAAAGAAGTATTCAGGAATTTATTTGAAAAAACTAAAATTAAAATCTTTGAATTAGTTGAACTGACTGTAAATTGTCCACAGTTGTTTGTGATAATTCCTCCATCATCAAGTATATTAATAAAAGGTAAATTATGTCTTTTTCCTACTTCATAATCATTATGGTCATGAGCTGGGGTAATCTTTACAGCACCTATAAATAAATATTATATTATTATAAAAATTTAATAATACAGATAGTCCTCAGTAATGCATTTTAGTTTTTACATAATTTACAAATTATGTATAGTTCTTGTACTGTACATAATTTTTTCAGTATAATACAATTCAATGAAAAGCCTTTCTAGATGCCACATGGAAACTAGCCTAACACCATCCTTGTATTATAGTTTCCCAACTGTTCTTGAATTATCAGCTTCAATATTTATTTAAAGTTTCTTTGATCTTCTAGAATAATTATTGTCAATTAATTTAACCCACTATTTAATGTATGGTGATGTTAATGATTCAGCACATAAAGGAAATCTGAGGTTTCAATATAGTAGCCCTTGCACAAAGATATGCTCAAACCATAAGATGGGATCTCAGTTTATGACTTAAACAAATAATAAGAGTCAAAGCAATCTTATATATGTAGACTGGAGTTCAGGAATGCATCTGACCATTATTCATATATTCTTACGAGATATAAACTTTTGTTTAATGTACTTTCACTTAATAGTATACTTTCAACAAACATTTACTGCACTAACTGAGAATTATCTGTGTTTCTTTGATTATTATTCTATGCTTTTCTTCAAAATAAAATTTACCTGTGCCAAAATTTGGATCAACAAATTTATCACAGACAATTGGCATTCGTCGATTACAGAATGGATGAATAACAAATTTTCCATGGAGATGTTTATACCTTTGATCATCAGGATGTACAGCAACAGCAGTATCACCTAACATTGTTTCAATTCTAGTAGTAGCTACTACTATTTCTTCTGCTGTAATAATAATAATAAAAATTTAATAAAGAGAATTTAAAATTATTAAAATTACCACAATAAAAATTATCTATCATACATGAATTTTCAATTTTATAAGCAAATGATATAAGTACACCAAATTCTACTTTTTCTTTCATTCCTGGCACACTTAATAATGTTCTACCAGACAATTCCAATTTATCTACCTAAAAAAATTAAAATGATTAATTAATGTTAAATAATTGCATTATTTAAATTTAACTAAATAAATTAAAAAGTTATTAAACAAATAATTTTTGGCACAGAATATTTGTTTAATTTTGAGAAATCTTTTAATGACTTATTCATATTAAAAATTTGCATTGATTTGACAACACTTAAGCAATTAGAAAATGAGTATTAAAAATAAAAAGATAAGAGGAAAAGAGAAATATTTTATTTATATTACTGTTATTAATCAAACATTTCAGTAGGACAAAGATCAAGTAGCAGTAGGACTAAAATATGATCATAGCTAAAGCAATAAAAAGCAGAAACAATAATAAAACCATATCATTAATCAATTTATACACATCAAAAGAAAATGAGGAATGTATAATTAAAGTGCAAACTTTTAAAACTAGCAAAATTGTATTTAATTTGACTAGTACTTTTGTTTTAAATATGGATAAGCTTTAGGTTTACTTAATAATGAAATAGAATATACATTTAAATGCATTTAGAATAAATAGAATAATTAAAACTGCTATAAATGTATGTTCCATTTTGTTATTGAGTAGACATGAAGATGATCCCAATTTGGATCAAAAGCATTAGTAAAATAAAAAGTTTTGCTAGTTTACAAGATTTAGCTTTATTATTATTATTTTATTAACCAGTTTAATGAGATTATTATTATATATTATATATACAGTTGTTTACAAAAGTTTAAGACCACACATAGAAAAACCAGATCTAATAGAATTTTATTGCAGGAGCTTCTTAGTGATCATACAACAATTCTTCTTATCACATGGCCATCACATGGAGAGGTATTTTCAGGCAACCACTCCTCTTTCAGTCAGTGAATTCTCCAGAACTTTAAACTTACTGATAGCTTGATGAACAGCTGTCTTGCTAATGTTTACTCTAGAACTTATTTGACGTTCAGAAAAACCAACTTTATGCAGTGTCACTATTTTCCTGCCCTTTTTGCAATAGTGAGTGAATGTTTCTTACCCATTATAATAATTAAAGTACAGTGCTGTCTATACCAAAATCGAGTCAACAACTGCCGATAAACTGCATGTGCTTGTTTATTTATACCAGCAGAATGCATCTGATGCAATCAATACACGAGATGAGGTAATAATCTATGCAAATGGTGAAATATGTAAAATACTGGAAAATGGCTAGTGGTCTTAAACTTTTGTAAATGACTGTATATATATATATATACAGTCATTTAATATTTAAANTTTAAAAAAAAGCAAATACACAATGTTTTATCAAAAATTAAAAAAAAAAACCACTTTGTATCATTCCAAGATTTTTATATAAAAGAATTAGATTAAACTATCATCCTAGTCATGGAAAAATTCCATACTTAAAATTATGATGACGTTTTGACCTAGTTCTTTTTCAAAAAATATGAACATAATGCAATTATGATTTATACAAAGATTGCATTTGTGGAGCATGCAACTCCTATGCGAGTTATATCACAATTGTGATGTATTTAAAAAAGAAAACTATGGAATAACTGGTTTTAATTGCATCATTAATAAACATTTCTAGAATGTAAATGAACATTTAGATATATTAAGTCCAATTTTTAAACAATTAGCGTAGATAGATAATAAAATTTAGAAAAATTTGCAAATGCTATATAAAATAATTACTTTCTTAAAAGATTCAACTAAAGTGTATCACACAGGTAACCTTCATTATCTGTATAATATAGTTCAATGCAGTCTTTCAATTTCTTGTGTAAGTGCTCTTTTAAAAACAATTTTGTTGCCTTAGACATACTTGTAGTGCATTACTTTAAATTTTACATATATAATGAATATCAAAATTAATTCTATTTATATTCCAAGATTACATTTCAAAATCATGTAAAATAACATCATATAAACCACAACTGTAATTTACTTTTAAAGAGAGAAAAAAGGAAACCACATCAAAAAAATTAAACATAAAACCAGGGCTGTGGAGTCGTGTAAAAATCTACCGACTCCAACTCTGACTCTTCCTTACCATTCGACTCTGACCAGGGGAGGACTTGTTACTGAAAGAGACCCAGAAATTCTTATGTCATCACGTGACCTCAGAACAAAAGATTCAATAAATAGAGTTCTAATAAAGATAGAGCGTAGAAACTTTTTATTCCAAAGCTAAAAAACTTCTCTAAGTAATATATAAATATGTATTCAATAATTTTTACTTTTCAGGCTGTTATATTTAACAGAGGAAATGTGTAGCGCTCGGTCAAAAAATGACCCCTCCCAAATTTTTACATTTTTGGATTCAGGACACCTTGAAATTTCAAGATATGCAAAAGATTTGAGGTTTTTTTCTATATGTGTGGATGTTAGACTGTGTGGGGGGGCATGATTTTGTTCATTCTGTTTGAAGCCTAATAATTTCTGTGGTCAGAGTGGTCAGAATCGGAGTCAGATGGTTTAACACAGGAGTTAGTTATTAAGCATCAAAGTGGTTGAACTGAATCATGTCCCTTACACATTCTAACATCTTAGGCAAGGACAATCTTAATTAACAGGTTTTACTGTACTATTATAAAATGGCAAAAAAAGCTTACTTTGAGGGTAGAGACGAGTTTTATTTTATTTTTTTAAATTTTGAACGCTAATAACGAGTAAAATATTCATAAGAGATATGACACATGACCACTTTTATGTCTTCACCCTGTTGACCTTTAATTAATAACCAAAATTTATTAGTATTAATGCCCCTTTTTACACAAGCTACAGTGCCACATTTTGTTCCTTAAACTTTACCCATTCTGAGATATTGTTTAATATCTCAGAACAGAAAATAAAGAAAATAAATAAATTAGACGCCAACACACACGCGTACGAATTTTTACCCTTTATTGACTTTTTTGAGGGGTTCGGGAGGTCTCCAAATGTGTAGATTTGCAAAAAGAAAAAAAAAAAAAACTTGGAGGGTCAAATTTGACTTGATTTCAACACTTTTCTGTTTTATATACATAACAAGTTGGTAAGTAAAAAGGAGTCGAAGTCAGCGGATTTTTTGACGACTCCGACTAAAACACCAAAACTCTCCATGACTCTGACTCCGACTCAACTTCACAGCCCTGCATAAAACAAATGTTCTATTATTCAATGTGAGAGAAGCATAATAAAATCATGTTGTTTATTTCATTAAACAATATTTAAAAGTTAATGCAATATTGTATCTGAGTCTATTTACTAAGAAGGAAGTATATAACAGACCCAATACAAACTGAATAAATTTAATTTATATAAATAAAATATATTTACAAATACTGTAAATATTATACAAGTAAAAATATAAGAAAATTAAAATATTAAACAAACATTGACCAACATATTATTTATTCTTCCTAATGTTTGCAGCCATCATACTGCATACAAACTGAATAAATAGAGTATCAGACACATAGAATGTTATTTTTTTGCATCAAATATATGTTCAAATTTGTAAATTCAAACTTGATTCAAATATGTTAGCTTTTTTAAATAAATGAATATATTCAAAATTAATGTTTTATACTTTTATTACTATATTTACAGTAGAGTCCCATACAATGCGGGGGATTTGTTACGCATCATAGGAAACTGCGTTATCGAAACCTGCATTATCATATGATTTATGAAAGTTTAAACCTTGGCCTATAAGTTGAAAAAAAAACATATACCTCTGATTGACAAAATTTGAGGGTGTTGTTTGCTTTATTTGTGCATTGTACAGGACTCTACTGTATTCAATTTGTATGCAGTCCTAATGATAGCTGCAAACATTGGAAAGAATAAACAATATGCTGGTCAAGGTTTGAGTAATATCTTGTGTTTATATAAAACACCAGTTAGGAAAGTCACAAAAAAAAGAAGGAAAAAAAATTAGAAATATTAAAAATGAAGTAAAAGTCATATTTTTTGTCACTTAACTATTCATATAATAGCATATTATTGTAGAAAATAAACTATTTCTAAAATACAGGTAGCCCTCGGTTTATGCCGCAGTTCCGTTCCTACAAAAGCTGGCACAAATCAAATCAGCATAAAACAAACCCATATTTACAGTGAGGTATAGGGTTAGGTTCTACATAAGTGAAAAATAAGCAAATAATTTTGCTTATTAATACAATATAATACAAAATGCATATAAATTTAATTTTTAAAATGTATTTTATCATAAAATAAAGTGAAATGTTTTTTATTAAAATATTTTAGTTTTGGATCTCTTACATTTTTCAGAAAAAAGTATCCATATTTAATTAAATTCCTGATCCATCAGAGCGATATTCTGTAATTTAGTGATGAGTTTCAGAGTGTTCAAAACAATGTAACTATATTCTTTCATGAGTTCCTCAGAAACCATTTGAAAGAATATAGTTACACCATTTCTAACATGTGGGAACTCGCCATCTTTAATTGTTTACATTTTTGTTTTCTTTCATTGAAAATTTCAGAACATGGTCGAATGGATGCGATGATGCTCCTTTTTACATTTGCACTTTGCTCCCAATCATTGTCTAACTCACAAAGTTAATCTGTCAAACTTTCCATAGTTGAAAGGATACGTTAACCCAACATAGAGCTACAGACGAGCGGAGACACTGATTGGTTGACCACCAGTCGCCCAATGTTTTCCTGAACAAACTAATACGGGATACATTCATTGGCACTATAGATTCGTACGCCATTTATTGGACTATTAAGTTTAATAACTTGACTCATGGGTACCTAAACGTTTAGTATTTTAATATTAATTTAATGCAAATGTATACATACCCAATAATATTAAACAGAAAAAATAAATATATTCAATAAAAACCTTTGTTTTAACAAATCTACAATGTCGCGGCTCGGCAAATATGTCAACACTGAAATGAAAATCAGTCTAGCATAGGGAAAATCGGGGAATTACACCGTGAAATGGTGAATTGCGCAGCGGCATTATTGTGAATCAGCGTAAACCGAGGGCTACCTGTACCTTGTTCAAGTATATTTTGCTATTATAATGATTAATGGGCTAATTTTCATAACACTATCTTAAAGTGAATATCATATTAAAGTTAATAATAATCTTTTTATTCACTTCTCAATGCATCTAAGAACCCTAAAATCAATTATATTATAATTAATTAATTATCCAATTGTGTTAATCTTAGAGAAAAATTCAAAAAATAATAAATAATCAAACTTCAAAAATCCTCTGAAGAGCAAGACAATTTTGAAAATAATAAACATGAATATAATTCGAAAGTGCTATATTAGCAAAATGCCTTAAAGTAATGTATGTTTGTATTAGATAGTCCATGAAATATTCTTGAAAGATTTTACAGCTTTCTAAGCATTTTAAGAATTAATAAACGTTGTATGAAAATTAACAAATGGATTTTGACTTATGTAAAAGAACTGAGTTTTAGAAAGATATATTTGTCTAAATAAAATAAACTTATATTGAGATTATCATATAATTTTGTATAAATTCTATGAATATTCCAGTGTTAATTTAAATAAATCAAACTTGTTACACTATTTATATTTTATATAACACATATTCTATTCATGTATAATTGACTTACTTCATCTGGCCATCCAAAAATTGAAAATGGAAAGAGTCCAGAAGAAAACCATGTATCCAATACATCATCATCTAATTAAGGAAAAAGTTATTTAATAAATTTTAATTTAACAACTTATGTTAATCAGATTATCTTGAAATATAGATCTCATTCAATATACACAAAAGAAATTTTGTTTCACTAGACAATTTATTGCTATTATAATATGAAATTAGTATTTATTGTAAACAGCCACATTTCAATTGCCTGTAACAGGCAATTGAAATATGGCTGTTTACAATAAATACTTTGTTCTTGTGGCTTGTTCCACAAGAACAAATTTTACTCAAACTTTGATGAAGATTTGTGAATAGAATACATTCTGTTAGTAGCTTCTATTGGTATATGAGGTCTGTTCAAAAAATACACAGACTGACGTCATAAAACAAAATGTACTTTATGTAGACGTTACATGTCTGGGTCCTGTTCAAAGTACTCTCCTTCCCAATGCACACACTTTTCCCCAGAGTGTTTTCACTTGTTGAAACGGTCCTGGTACGCTTCTTTAGTAATGTCCTTCAATGCCTTCGTCGCATTTGCCTTAATCTTGGGAATCATCTCAAATCTTCTTCCTTTCAAGGGTCTTTTGAGTTTGGGGAACAAGAAAAAGTCACAAGGAGCAAGGTCAGGTAAGTAGAGGTGGGTGGGGAAGAACAGTGATCGAGTGACCATTCAGCCCTCAAAAGTCAGGAGTTCTGAGGGCTGAATGGGCTGGAGCATTGTTGTGATGGAGAAACCAGTTGCTACTTCACAATTCTGGCCTTTTGTGACAGATAGCATCCCTCAGACGTTTCAGAACTTCAATGTAGTAACTCTGGTTCACTATGGAGCCTTGGGGGAGGTACTTGTGGTGAACAACACCCTTAGCATCAAAGAAAACTGTCAGCATCAAGTGACCTTTGACATTGGATCAAACTTGGCGAGCTTTTTTGGGTCTGGAGGATGTTTCACCCACCCACTGGGACAAATGGACCTTTGTTTCAATGTCATAACCGTAAACCCAATATTGATCACCTGTTATGATCAATATTGACAAGAAGTTTTCATCTTTTTCTAGACAATCAAGCAGTTCCCGACAAACCTGGATGCGATTGGCTTTTCAATCGTCCGTCATCAGGCATGGCACAAATTTTGCAGCAATGCGGTGCATCTTCAATTTTTCGATCAAAATTTCGTAACAAGATCCAACTGATATCCCACACAATTCAGTAAACTTCCCCTGATGGTCAGACATTGCCTGATGGTCAGACATTGATTTGCCTGCATCAGGGTGTTGATTTTGTCAACAGGTGAGTCATTAGTTGATGTGGAAGGACATCCAGGATGCTCATCATCTTCAATCGACTGTTGACCACCCTTAAAACATTCATGCCACTTGAAACATGCTGTATGCTTCATAGCAACATCACCGTAAGCCATGTCAAGCATAGCAAATGTTTCAGTCACAGATTTTCCAAGTTTAACACGAAATTTCACAGCAAGTCATTGCTCCATCAGGTCATTTATTCTGAAATCTGACAAACAAAAAAATCGCACTTTACTAAAAACCGCATAGCTAATCAACAAATTAAGATATCTGTAATCGGGAAACGGCTTTATCACCAGACAATCTGTACAAACCTAGTGACACCAAGCGGATTCACCTGGAACCAACTGGAGCCACGCAATTCAAACAGTCCGCGTAGTTTTTGAACAGACTTCGTATCTGAATTTTTCACTTAAAACTTGTCTTATCCTACCAAGTTTCTTGCTGTAATTGTTCTTAGTCAAGGAACTATTGGACAAAAAAGTTGGTTGTTTAATCACTGTGCACATGAGATGCCTTCATGTTTTGGCTTATATCTCAGGAACCATGTAATGTATGCAGCTAATATTTGCATGGCTTAATTTAAGATCCTTAGCTACCTTTGTGCCAAATTTCATTGAAATCTGAGAGGTCAAGATGGAGACTTCGATCACTTGATATTGAATGATCCTATAGTTGTTATCAATGAAGTAGTAATAACATAAATGTTTTTATTAAAATTAAAATTATTAGTAAATATCATAAAAAAGTGTATTGGAGAAAAGCAATCAAGGTTATTTTCTCTGTATTTTATAACCGTTCTTGTTGACAATTTGGCTTTAAAACAACTGTCCCCACATAGCTTCTCAAATAACTGTTTAAATAAAAATGAATCTCCATTCATTGCCAGTACATACTCATAATCTTCAGATTTTTTTTTGTAAATATATATCAAGTCCCAATTATATCTATAAACTGATTTTATTAATTACTCATAGAAGAGAATATGTTATGAATTAAGAAAACTTTTTATTCTAAATGAAAATTTATAAATAATGGATAATTTCATATTTTTCATATGTTTAATAAAAAATACTGTATTACCTTGTTTTAACTTAATTTTATTTTTAGAAACTTTAAACTTTTTTGCTGCTTTTTCTAAAGCTTCCTCTTCTGTTCTTCCACTGATCCAATATTCATTATCTTGTTCCTATCACAGAAGAAATTACTATTTACTGACTAAAACACAAATGATAAAAAGTTATTACTGTTAAAGCGTAACATCAAATGTTTTCTGAAAAATGGAATAAAAATTGTGTCTTCTATGCCAATGTAATTTAAATATACCAAAAACAATCAGCAATTTCTAGATGAAGTTAGCTCAATTGACAAATACTGTCTTTGTCCATCTTTACGTAAAGGACAAATGTCTAAGTTTTGGATTATAAACAATAGGTTGTGCTAATGTGTTGTTTATGAAGCTCTTTTGGAGAAGTAAAAATGACATCTAGTAAGCAGAAAGCTTTTTGTGTTCTGCAGTTTGCATGATGTTAGTAGATAATCACTGTTCAGCGTAATTTCATAGAAAATTCCAAATTAATCTACGACAGCTCAGAGTATCTGTAGGTGGTATCAGCAGTTCAAGAAGACACAATGTCTTTGTAAATGAATAAGTCCAGGGCAGCCAGGCATGTCTGCAGAGAATGTTGAAAGAATGAGAGAGACTTTTATACGCAGCCTGAAGAAATCAACCTATCATGCTAGTCAAAAATGGGGATTACTCAGCCTACTGTTTACCATGTGTTGAGAAAAAAATTGTTATGAACCATAAATTGTATAACTTGCAAGTACTGAAGCCTACTGATGAGCTACAAAAACTGAACTTCTCCCTTTACATGCAACAGGCTATGGAGGTAGATGGTATTCACACTTGACTTGTTTTCAGTGATGAGACCATTTTCCATTTAAAGGCCGTGACACACTAGGCAATTTTTGTGGAAGACATGTTGCCTAGTGACAGAAAAACCTGGCAGGGAGTCAAATTGCTTTAACTTTTGGGAGACGAAAAGTCTCCCATTGCATGTTGTAACAATGGGCGCGCACAGATTTATCATGCAAGTACAACTCTTTTTTTACAACACAAAAATAAAAATGGAGGACAGTCGCTCGTCGATAGTTGATAGGACATGATGTTTAATTTCATTAATTCAATAGTAAGAACCAATTTATGGTATAACCACACTATTCAAAAATATCATGACTAGGTACAGGTACAGGAAGAAATGTCAATCATATGACTCCAGCAACTTATCTCCTTGTGTGTCTGGACTAGTGATGCCATGAATAGTGATTTTGCCAAATATCGAATACTGAATATTCGGCTACGCTCTCGGCCGAAGTGCTGAATATTTGGTGGCCGAATGTTCGGCAAAATATGTGTACATTTCGCAGGTATGACCTGTCTCATTGTGGTGGGTGCAGTAGTGACACTGTGGGCACATTTGTTTTATTTGTGAGTAGATTGTGTCACAACATGCATTATTTGTTCATTGTTACATCAAATTGTGTTACTAATAGTCCTTATTACTAAAAATATATCACTGTTTGTATCACTTTATATGAAAACTGTTCGCCTACATCAAACAGCAGACCTTTACAAGTGGTGGTCAGCAAACGCAAAACAGTATCCAAACCTGACAGAATTTGCTAAGATTTATCTATTGTCTCCCAGCAGTAGTGTATATAGTGAGAGGCTATTTTCAGAAGCAGATATAGTTTATGAGGAAAAGCACAATTGTTTGCTATCAACAAATGCTGAAAAAATTGTTTTCATTCATCACAACGTACCACTGATAGCTTTTAAGTATTAAATGTAATAATTTGTGATTAAAATAAATATGTTTTTGAGTAATATGTGCATTTTTTTTTCATGATTTGATATTCGGTATTCAGCCGAATAGTATGCAACATTCAGCCAAATACCGTATATTAAAAAAATTAGCCGAATAGGCCGAATACCAAATAGTAGCCGAATGTTCGTGGCATCTCTAGTCTGGACATCTTGAACATCAACAGGTTTTTGTCACTCAGAGATATGTCTCCAAGGCGAGAAATTGCCTAGTGTGTCATGGCCTTAACTAGCAGAGTGAAATGTCAAATTGTTTGCATATGAAGTGCTGAAAATCCTCATGCATGCATTGTACAGGAACAGGACTCACCCAAAATGAGCATTTTTTGTGCACTATCTGTATCAAAGATTTACAGACCATTCTTTTTTACAGAAAAAAACAATGGCTGGCATTTCATATTTGAATATGTTACAAATCTGGCTTTTTCCCCAGTTGAAGATGATCTTGCACTCAGCATTTTGGAATGTCATCACTCTTCAACAGGTTAAAAAATAATTTTAAATACGTTTTTAAAGGAAGTTTTTGTAACCTTCTGCTGAAGAGGGAAGGTAATCTGAATGCTGAGTGCCTAGAACACAGATTTGTGTTACAATAAATATTTGATAAACAAATGTTGTCCTCTGTTTTTGTGCTTCTCCTCCTTGGTGTTACAAGTCCTTAAATAAAGTAGGGTTCTTGTGGACATTTTATAATACTTATACAGATTCAATATTTATTTGGTGTCAATAAGGAAGATAATTTCTTTATTATAATTTGACTATTGAGAATCTTCAAAACTGTATAGAACACACTGAAGATAAAAAAGAGACCTTTAATGATTTCATTAGAACATCAAGCAGCAGAAAAAAGTGAAGAAATTTTTAATGCAAGACAACACTTATCTGTTATAATATATTCTGAATATATTAAAATCTATCTTATCCAACGAATAAAAAAAAATCTCTTGTAAAAAAATCTTCAGATTTAAATGTATTAGACATAGTTTTGTAACTCTTACTCTTGCAGAATTATTCTCATATAAATTTCTGATCATCAAAATAAGATGGCATGGGAATCCCTGTTCTGGAGAGTGGGGCATAATTTGTGCCATTTTAAACAATCAAAGGCTTTGGTATAATCTATGAAACAAAGCTAAGCTTTGACATTAAATTCATAGGCTTTTTCAATGATTTGTCGAGTGTTCAAGATTTGTTCATGAGTTCCTTTACCAGGGATAAACCCCGACTATTCTTCAGCTATTTCATGTAATAGGAAGGGTTTCAAATGTATATTAATTATTTGGAGCATTACTTTACTGGCATGGTTAATTAGGCTGATAGTTCTGTAGTTACTACAGTCTGTCGGTGCACCTTTTTTATAAATTGGAATAAATATTGATTTACACCATTCCTCTGGCCATCTCTTTGTAATTTCTTAATGTATTTATGGTTTTTTCTACCTCTGATTTAAGAACATATGGTTCAACTTTCCCTGTTCATCCATTCTGAAGTTGATTATTACCATTTGTTTGTCCAATGTCTTTATAGTTTCTCACAATACTTCCTCCAGACATCTGCAATCCCTTCTGCATCAGTTATGATTTCATTTTCATCATTTTTAATTATTTGTGTGTGTGGTTTGAACTCTCTTGCTAGATATCTAACTTTATTGTACAGTTCACGAGTCTGATTATTATTTGCATGGACTTCAATTTCATTGCATATACTGTCAATATGATCATTTTTTGTCTTTCTTACAAGCCTTTCTGATTTTTTTGTCTAGCTCTTTCTTCTTTTCATCTGCAACAATTGCTGAAGTTAATAATTTTTTCCTTTCATCTATGAATTCAAGGGTACTATTTCTCATCCAATGTTTCTTTTTTTGTGGCTGATGTTGTGTGGTGCATTGTTGTACTCCAGTTAAAATCCAACTTTTTGTTTGTGTCCATAAATCATCTAGGTTGTTTGTAAAGGATGGAGGGTCTAAATTTCGGAGAGTCTGTTGTAAGATTGAACTAGCTGGAGTTGATCTTTGATATTTTTGTTGTATGGAGTTTTGATGTTACTTCCTCTTTTAGCAGCTTATGATCAGAGTTGCAGAATGCTCGAAGTCTTGCTCTGACTTTATTTACTGATGATCTCCATCTTGTTCTTATTAACATATAATCAATTTGGTTTTTATATTCACCTGTTGGGGAGGTCCAAGTAGAAAGACACCGATAATGGTGTTTGAACATGGTGTTAGTTATTGAAAAACTGTTATTGATTGCAAACTGAAGGAGAGTCTATTTCCTCTCTCATTTCTGGTGCCCAGTCCAAATTGTCCTCTAATGCACCATAGATTATCATTTTTTGTATTGCCTATCTTAGCATTAAAATCTCCCATTATCATCAATATGTGCTTCTGTGGTATTTTTGTGATGATATTTTCAATTTGTGTGTATACGCTGTGTCCACTTCATCGTCCAAAGCAGCCAAAGTGGGCATATAAACCTGAATAATATGAAGTTTTATTGGCCTGAAAGAAATTGTAATTTTGATTATGCAGTCATTGATAGGTTCATAGCCTTCCACAAATTTTGTTAGGCATTTGTCGATAACAAAGGCCACTCCATTATGCCTATTTTTGGTTATATCTGAAACATATATCGTGTGGTCAATTTATCAAAATGACCACTCTCTATCCAATGTGTTTTGGAGATGCCACAAATTGGTATATTCTCTCGATTAAGCTCTCTTTCTACTATGTAAAGCTTTCCAGTCTGTAAAAGTCCTCTTACATTCCAAGTACCTAAGGATAAATTTCTCCTTAGATGTAATTTTAAATTTCTTCCAGATGCATATTTTGTCTGTGGTGCCTGGTTGCTTATGTCCGCACAACCTTTAGCCTATTTCATACCAAATGACCTGGAATCAGTTTGGTGCCAGTTGCTGACCAGATCACCATGCATATCATTGATACGATCATTGCTCATCCTCATCATAATATTCTCATGGGAAAATAATCAGGTGGTTTCCCATTGCCTGCCTGATATGTTGAATAAAAATGGTTTTGAACTTTTATATATACAGTTTAACCCTCTTATAACGTCATCCATGGGGCTGGCAATTTTTGACGTTATAACCAAGTATCGTTTTCTGCAGGGTCATAATTTCAGTCCCATAAAAGTATCAAGTGTGTTTAAGAATCTATTATAAAATTCATCTAATTTAATATTGTATGTATAAAAGTGCAAACTAAATGTTTAAATCAACTTTATTTACATTATTATGTCTAAATTTACAACGATGTAATTAAAAATTTCAAAAATTACCTTTTATAAGAAAGTTTTATTTGTCTCAAGTTTCGATAATGGGTGCACTTTCGGTTTTGAAAATAATGTCGAATCAAAAGGCAACAAAAAGTTAAATTAAGCAAGAAGTCCAACATCTTTCACTTTTAGGTTAAATTAATGTATACCAATTAAAAAGAAACAATTAAAATACTCACTTAAAAAAAGTCAGTTATTTTAGATTGTAGGCGTTTTTCACCTAAAAATTGTTTATCAATGTCATTTTCTAAGTTGTAGATTTTGTTCATTATTTCCGATGAAGTTTTAAGAGACCTGTAAAACATTTTCAATAATCTTATTGCATTACTCGCTTCCCTGGTTGACAGCACTGCAGTTTCTCTGTTTGATGTTTCTTCATCATCATCATCATCATCATCATCCACATTTTTTTCGTCTGAACATTTAATTTGCTCAATAATATCTGCATCTGTATAAAATTCAGATGTTATTAAATTTTCATCTACACTCTCATATTCAGTAGCAGCAGATGACAAAAATTCGCTGTTTTTTGAACTCTGAAGTGTTTAAATTAATTCTGATAGAGGAATGTCGTCGTCGTCATTATTGTCATCTTTCGTAAATGTAATAGCTGTTTGACTATTACACAATTTTGCATGGTAAAAACAGTTTGCTATTATTAGCGAACTAACCTTACACCAAGATTTTTCTAAAAAATCAACTGCATCTAATAAAGAAATTGCCATTTTATTTTTATCTTCCATTTGTTATAATTTTTTGTAAAAGAATTTTTCTGAAATGAGATTTAAGGCTTCTTATAATTCCTTGATCCATTGGTTGAAGTATGCTAGTACAATTCAGAGGAAGGAATACAAGTTTGATGTTCTTTAAATTTTCTAAAATTGGATGTGCTGGGCAATTATCGAGAAGGAGTAAAATTTTTTTTGTTTACCAATAAGTTCTCTATTCCATTTTCAAATTTCTTCTTCAAAAATCTCAGATGTCATCCATGACTTTTTGTTCGCTTTGTAATTTACTGTAGTGTTTTTATGTTTTTAAAACATCTCGGATTCTTTGATTTTCTTATTACAAGAAGTTTTCTTTTGTCTGTACCAGTCATATTAGTGCAAGCAAAAATTGTTATCCTATCTTTCGCAAGTTTTCCACCAACACACTTTTTGTTTTTAAATTTAAATGTTTTATCCGATAAAAGTTTGCAAAATATCCCAGTTTCATCTGCATTATAAATGTCTTCATCTGCATATTCTCCTCTTAATTTAGGCCACACATCTCTTAACCAGTTTTCAACGTCCAGTAAATTTACATTTTTTACTTCTCCACACACTTTCCCAAAACTTATGTTATGTCTTTGTTTGAAACAGTCTAGCCATCCATTAGAACATTTAAAGTTAGTATTGCCTAATAGTCATCCAAATTCTGCTTTTTCCATTAGTATCGTTCCATTTAGTGGTTAGTTAGAACTTCTGCATTGGTTAAACCACTTAATTAGAGCATCATCAATATTGGCTTTTTCACATAACTTAATTTTTTTCACTTGTCCCTTGCCATCTTGAAAACTTTTCAAAATTTTCTCTGTTTTTTATTATTGTGCACACTGTAGAATTTGCCAAACCAAAGTCTCTGCATACATCTGCCTTTTTTCTTCCACTTTCAACTGCTTTAATTATTTCTACTTTGCAGTCTAACATTAACACTTTCCTTTTTAAGCTAGCCATTTTACCTGATTTGATGCTAAACTACAACACGAGTTTGAGAGCTATGCAGACTAACCCACTGTCATGTTGTTTAAAGGAGTGGCGAATCTCACCCCACCAAATCAGGTGGTGACAGTATCATCCACAATCGTTCTAGGAAGCAGACTCTGACCCTAGGACTGAACATGTAGTATTTTCTTTGATAAATAAAATTCATAATCTAATTTTGTAAATTTGAAAGTGCTTCAAATATGACATTAAAACAGAGTTTTATGTCATTACAAGTGGGTTTTTTAACATTATCTAGTATAGTAAAATCGTGGGACTGATAAAAATTTGACGTTATATTAGGGTTGTTGTTACATCTGATGTCGTTATAATCGGGTTAAACTGTACATTTATATAAAAAGGTGTGATAAAAAACAAGAGAAGATGCAGTTCAGTTTATTTATCTTTATATTTCAAATTAACTTCAATGTCCTAAATTTTTAAATATGATATATTTGATTTTACAATATTTTCCAATTATCAGTGGACATATTTTGACTTTTACATAATTTATTGAGGTTGCAACCTCAAATAAAAGGCTGAGCCTCAGTGTATTTTAAATGAGTTTCTTATATCAAAAAGGATAAGGGAATATGCTGTTTAGATTATCTGAATTATATTTTTAATGAACTTTAATGTCCTGAATTTTTATGTATAATATATACAGTATGTAATAATGTAATTTTTATTTTATTGTGAAAGTTTATTAAATTGTCAACAATATGAGCATTTTTTCACATTTATTAAACTTATAAATGCATTATATTTAATCTGTATAATTTTTTTTTCAATTTTATAAAGTGTATTTTTTTGGATTTTCTATATAAAAGAAAAAATTTTATTCATATACATTTTATAAATATATAAATAAAATAATGCAGCAGATTGAAAGAAAAATTTTTGCAAAACACAAAATTTCATTTAAAAATAAATAAATTTAAAATGAAAAACTTACTAACTATAATTTATTTAATGATATTACTTAATATATAAAATAAGATAAAATTATTTTAATACTTACAGTTCCTTGAGATATAAAGGGATCATCTACTGTTACAAAGTATGCTGGAATTCGATGACCCCACCATAACTGTCGAGAAATACACCAATCCCTAAAAATAATTGCAACACAAATCAAAACCAATTAGTCTGATCCCATATCTAATAACAGAATTGCATTAATTATAATTAGGTAATAAAATTAGAGCAATATGTAAAATGTCTGTATTTCATAAAAATAAATTTTAAATAATCAGAACTTAATTGAAACTTTAAGCAATAAGAGAAATGTTCCAATGTAGAAATTATTTAATAATTTTTCATTGATAACAGTCATGATCTGATATATAACAGCTAAGATATGTAACCAACTGTAATTTATGTGAACTTTTAGTTCCTGAAAAACTAATTAACTTAGATGGCCAAGAATGTTTTAAGCATCAGCCTATCACTCCAGAAAACCAGAGATTAAATCTGGTGAGCAACTTTTCAGGAATTTTTCACAAGTGGATGTGTCAGGCCAATTTTTCAGAACCTAGCAACCTCCATTGTGGGCCTGGATGAACTCACAATGAGTATGAGAAAAAGATCCTCTTATTTCTCACATGGTGGAAAGAGTCAAAAATGAAAAAAAATTTATAAAACGAAAATACAGTAGTCCCAGAAACTTGATCTTCAATAATGTGACATTCCATAAAATCATCTTGTTGTCAAAAATAAATAAATAATAAATGTAATCTAATTCTTACATCTATAACTTAACACTAGGATAAAATAAGTTATTGTTCTTTACTAGTGACACTTGATAATAGCATCAATTCTGTGTGTTAACAAAGAATATAATTCCTTTCCAAGATGCCACTGTAAAACATCATGACATCAACTTGAAAGTAGCCATTAAACAGCCAATATTTTTTTAAATTAAAATTTAATGGTAAGTAAGCTACTAATGATATGTAGTTAATATGTATATGAATCTGCACATGTAATACTTTTATGAAAATTCAGCTATTTAGACTAGTATCATAGCTTTCCATAGTCATTTTCTATAACTCATCACCTTCTCAGTCCACATTAAGTGGAATTTGTGGGACTCTATTGTACTAATTATAATTTCATCATTATTTGCAATCTTCTATTAATGTTATAATTTAATATATAATAAAGTTTTTCAACATTCTAATTATTTCAAATTTGTATGCAAATAATTATTGATTACTTAAGTGTTTTGAATTTAAATAAAAATTATAATTTAAAGTAAAGAAATTTACTTTTCTTTTGAAAAGAATTATTATAATTTCCTGCCCATTATCTGTAGCAGCATATAATCTGTAGAGCAAGTTTTCATTGATAAAAAAATTTTTTGTCATCTAATTTGCACAATATATAAACATCTTACAAACCCAATGTATTAATAATCATCCAACCATCAGCCAAATTAATCTAGCAATATTATGCATAATATTGCCTGATTAATTTGACTGATGGTTAGATAATTTGCTTAATTGTTTATTTGCTTCATTGGCTCATCAGCAATGAGATAATGCAATTTGTAAAAACATTTAATAAGAAAAAGTATTCCAAAATTTAGAAAAGAGACTATATGATTCATTTTAAAACAATACAATAAAAATTTAAAACCCAGAATTATGAAATGCAGTAAATCACTAATTTACAACCTCGTGAAGCTGGTATATTAAAAAATATCATTTTCAAGTTCAACACAATTGATTGTACTTAGTAATGGCATGGTATAACAATTACATGATAACTTTAATACTGCAATGGATAATAAATGCATATTATTTAACAATAATGTATAAATTTATTCATGTTTAACTACAACTCAGATTTGAACTATATTAGACTCAAAAACTGATAACAAACCTTTTTTTTCAGAGTTGCTTGATATAGAATTATCATTCTAATCTCAAATTTATAATAGAATTAAATTGAATTTTATTATTACATCACTTTAAAAAATTAAATAAATAAAAAGTAACAATAGAAATAGTATTTTCTTAGAACAATGTTGCCGTTGAGAACATATCACACAGGAACACTTTCAGAGGAAAAAGGTTGTTTTATTGGTGTGAACAGATATGCATTTCGGGCTTAACACCCCTCTTCAGTCCTGAGATAGCGACAGTTAAACCAACATGACTCATAAGAAGATATACATGTAGTTGAAAAAGAAAAAAAGGAGCTAAAAGTTCTTTTGGCTCCACACATATACACATTAGGTTAGTATAGCATGTGCTGTAGGATGTGAAATAATTCTGATAAGATGTACAAAGAACATAGACAAGATATGAGAGGTTAAAAGGAAGTGAGTAATCCTTGTAACATACCTGTATGACTATGTAAGTTAAATATCTAGAGCTAAGCTTAAAACATATTTTAACAAAGAATAGATTGGAGATGTTATTTTTGTATGGCTAATTGACGTGTAAACAATCATATTCCATCTGCTAGTAGAAGTGAATATACCCTTGCCCATAACAATAAGATACCTTTCATGTTTTATCATGTTGAGAAGACTTCTTAATTTAACAAAAAGTAAAATGATTTTACTTTTTTGATGATATAAAAAATTGTCACAGATTATATACCATAGTTATAATCCAAGGCATTAAAATTGGAAGGATTTTATAAACACTTAATCCACAGATTATAGACAGGAAATTATGATAACAGGAAACCCTAATCATCTTTAATGGTCCAACCCTGGTATTTTGTATTGTTCTTTACAACTGTTCAATTCAATTTCAGTTATAGAAAATTATTTGTAGAGAATAAATTATATTACAGTATTTTAAAACTAAAGAATAATTTTCAAATTGCTTTTTGGTTTATTTTAGACCAAAAGTAATTTGAGCAAAGAGGTTAAACCTAAAAAATTTTTAGTATTTTTGGTATATAATATCAATTTGTTGTTATGTTTGCATGTCTATTTCACTATTTTCTTCTTGATTAGTTCTTAAAAAAAAAAAAACACCATAAAAGCTCATTAGTGTATATTTTTTTATCACAAATTTTTGTTCATAACTAATCAGGTTTTTAAAACTTCTATAAATAAATTGCCATACTAACCTAATGTTTTCTAGCCAATGATACCATGTTTTCTCATGCATTTCAGGGATAATTTTCAAAGATCCATTTCGGACAGCCTACATAAAAATATAAAAAGTTAAAATTTTGCATATACAAAGTCATAACCACTTCCAGAGAAAATAATATAGTAATTTATTATAATAATTTTCAATATTAGTTTTACTGATTATTAATTGCTAGAAGGAAATTATAATTTTCACTCTTACTATATTTAACTAACACTAGATTACATCAATTACAGGTTTCTAGAAATGGTTTTAAGAAACCTGATGATGGTCTTATAGGAATAGGCTGAAAACATTAGTAATTAAAAATTTTCTCTCAACAAATGCATAGGTGGTCATAAATTTGTAATTTATTCTGTTGAGCACATCTGAACTGTACATCAATTACATTTTTCATAATAATCATTTAATTTTTTTTGCAAAAATTTCTCAACGTATGATGATAAAAATATTTACAATTTCAAATTTATACAAAAAATAATAAATTTATTAGCATACTTTACACAAAATTATTCTATAAACTAAATTAGTCAACAATGACTTTCTATGCTTGAACTATTGTAAAATTTATATATAATAATATATCACATTGTCCTAAATATTAGTCAATGTTTCTTCCCAATTTTAAAATAGAAAAAGAAATCCAGCAATGAGTTGCATAACTTTCCCAGCAAAAAATTTTAAATTGAGATGGTGCCATCTGTTATTTTGTTTTAAAAACTTTTTATATTATGAATTACTATAAAATGATCGAAAGTTTAATTTTGAGAGTAGAGATGTGTTTTATAAAAACATTGTAAATGCTAATAACGAATAAAATCTTCATTAAGTCTGACCTCACTCAAGATATGACACAAGATCCCCTCTATCTCCTCACCCCTTGACCTGTACCACCAAAATTCAATAGCATCAATCTGCTAATACAGAAATCTCACTGCAAAATTTCAGAAATTTTTGATAAAAAGCACAAGAGTTATTACCCTTCAAAATGGCTGAACAAAATCATTCCAACACTCACCCATATACACACACATTAACATACAAAAAAAAAAAAAAAAAAAAAAAACCAACTTTATTTGCATTTCTTAATATTTCAGGGTCTCAAGTACAAAAATGTAAAATTAAAATTTTGGAAATCATTTTTTGATTGCCATACTTTCCCTCTGTTATAATAGTCTGGAAAAAAAAATTGCTCGAGTCTCAACTTATATTCAAATCCAATTTAACCTTTCTTCAATTTCAATAACTGTCTGTAATACACATCACATAGAGTTAAACTAATGCTAAAATTCAGTGCATCAATTGTTTAGCAATGCTATCATCAGCCAAGTTATGACCTGTCATGCTGCAGTTTGAAAATTATGTACAGGAATTAANTCGGATAATTGAAAAGTCGGATAACTGAAAAGTATGAAAAAATCCATTATTAGTGTAGTATATTATTATATCCCATGTAATTAGTATATTAGTATATCGCTATTAACCTACTTCGCGTTGAATTTTCATCGATGTTAAGCCTAACAAAAATTTTTTTAAATAATAATCGTCGCTATTGTATCATTAAAAATTATTTTTAAATTATTTTATTGCTCACGAAACAAACAATCAATCATAATTAGAAAGTCTCGTTTAAATACTGGCCTCCCTTCAATGGTCAAGCCATTGATGCCAGCTAAAACATGCAAAAATTAACAAAAATAATATCAAAGTAGCCAAGACATAGCCAAATATTGTAGCGCCACATCACTAGCGGACATTTGAAATTTGCCGACTAGGACGGTCGGTTAATCGGGGGTTGGATAATCGAGGCTCTACTGTATCCTCTTATCAATCCTCACTGAAACTACTTTAACTTTCTTCATTGAAGCATCTTGCATTCCCAATCATGGTAATCTCATCAGAGTTCTACAATTATATATATAGCAAGAATTATGATGTGTTCTTTGCATAGACTTTCATTCATACACTACAGAGAGAGAGATGTACCTGGATATTAGTTGTAAGACAGTTTATAGTGTACATTTCTGCTTATAATATTTCTTGGAAACAAAGAGAAGTTATAAGTTTTTGGCATTTTGTTAATGGATTAATTATATTATATTTCTTTTTAACTTTAAACACATCAGATTCCAGTTAGGATGTTAAGTAAGATCTGAACATACAGACATAACTGAAATGTGTTTCCATGTTCCATTGTCATGTTTATTATTTATTTTTCTTGTCAGATGGAAGGTTTTCCTACATACAAATCAATATTAACTACCATATTTACTTGCATATAGGATGAGGTGTAACTTTAAAGATCAAAATAAAGAAAATTAGAGTTATTAATACAATTGTAATTTTTATTTGTTTAATAACATTTAAAATATCAAATGAATGTAAATGCACACCTTGTCCTGCAAAAATTACTGACATTTTAAACTTTTTAAACTTAAAAAAAAATTTTGTAAAATTGACAACATAATTTGTTAACATAAAGCTGGACAATTGGGAAGCTTTTTTTTGCTGACTCTTAACAGTCAAATCCGTTTTCTGTTTATTACACTTATGAGTTTCTCTGAATTCTGATTTCTGAATCATCTGTTTTCACATGGGATTGGATTAAAACTTATATCTGGCTCCTGTATGATTTTGGAATTTCAGTCTGGATTTGATTTAATTCAAAAGCTTTGCTTTTCCTATTGCTATTCATTTTTACTCCTGACAATATACAAGAATGATTCAAATGACCCAGATAAAATACTTATGTTTTTAAATACAAGAGGGTAAGCATCAGGTAAAAAATGCAAATATATGGTTCACAAAAATTATTTGCAAAAATGCAAATAATCTTTTGCTTCCATGTATAGGACAATCTAGGAATTTGAAGCTGTGATAAATGTATAAAAACCTCGTCTTATATGCAAGTAAATATGGTATTGACAAATGATTTATTAGTGGAATGTTTTTCAGATCACTAAGTTAAAAAACTTTTTATAATATTTAAAAAGTTTTATTTTTATCAGAAAATGATATAACCAAAATAAAACAAAATATGTATATTGAAGCTTTAAATGAAAATTATAATAGAAGAATGTTTTTAATTTTATTTTATTAAACATAATTTTTATTACATATAAGAAATGGCCTTTTGAAGCAACACAATGAAAATAATCTTTATTTATTATTGGAAGATTTAATAAATTTTAAATATTTAAATTTTGAAATTAAAATTTTATCTACTATTGCTAAAAACAGTTTTTAGTCTGAAGTCAGTAGACTTGAATTAATGAAGTCAGTATTATTTAGACTTATTTAGAGTAAGTCTACTACTTCATTAATTGAGTTTATACATAGTATTTAAGCTGAAATAGTTTCAAGGAGCTAGAAAACATATTACATTTTAAGATGAAATAGTTCTGTCACAAACACTTTATTTATTTTTGAATACAGTAATAAAATTCTAAAGGACTTGAGATTACTGTATAAAACACAACAATAAAACAATCTCCTTGATAAAATTACACCATACAAAGGAAAATAAGATCCTTTTTTACTCTGATGTAAATTTTATGGAAAAATTAATGAGGAAAGAAGTTAAAAAAGGATGAAAACAAATAAACCAATAATGAGGATTAACTGTGGATGCCGTAAGAAGTTTACAACAGTTTTTAAAGAACTGAAAGTCTCAAAGTGAAAGGGTTTTGACAAGATGGATATTATGATTGTCTGTAAAAAGAATGATTATCTGGAGACAGTAAGTTTCTATATGGGAATAGCAAGGCAGAAATTATTTCTTGTTTATAAGAAGGGATTCTTATAGTTAGTTTGTCTGGAGATAAAAATCCAGTAAAATATTTATAAAATGTAATCGTCTCAAAATACTCAATACAATGAAGTAAGATGGACTTTGTCTAGATCTGACAACTTCTCCAGAATCAGTATAAAGTAAATTAGAAAGTTTGTTAGAAAAGATAAATTTTATCAAATTTAGCAGTAATCTTTTGTAAGAGACTAGAAGCTGCAGTAGACCAGATCAATGGTTAATTACTGACTGAAAATTAGAGAAAAAAAATAGCTCTGAGGATGGTACATGAAGAGTATGATAATATCTCCAAAGAATCCCTCTAGTTGTCAAGCTCTTGATTATGAAGAAAATTCTGGTTGATAAGTTAGATATTTAACAAAATCAAAACTCCAGAATTATTAATTCTGTCAACATATTTGATTGGGTGTTCATTAATAGTGAAGGTACTCAAAAGAGAATTCTGATTATACATGACAACATGACAACTGTTTTCTGTGAATTGATGGATGAATTGAAAGTTTCAAAGAAGCTGAAGTAAGTGCAAATAAATTTAACTGCATCACTTAGGAAACAAGTATTTATTAATTTTAGATCATCCACATATAATAAAACATGTAAATTAACAATAAGGTTATTAGTAATAAAATCAATAATAGGAAATAAGCTGTTGAGTAATATTGATAAATCACATATACAGGAGAAAATGGATAAAAGGAGATGCCACCTAGATAAATTGTAAATAAATGTAATAAAAAATAATTATTTATTCAAAGTTAACTCAGGATGGATGTCATAGTTATTCTGTAGGATGACCAACAGACATGAAGGTAACACAGAGTTGAAAGCTTGTTTAATATCAATATAAATGACTTAAAAACATTTCTTTAATATAATTTTTTTGAAATTTTTAAGAATAACAATTTGCTAGAACACTTTTAAATTTTTACTTATTTTTTTATATTTTCTGGAATACCAATAGACAGTTGTTTGAATAACAATTTGCAACTGTAATAAATTTATGCAAATAGAGCAGCATCTTGAAGTGGGTTCAGACTTGTTGCGTATCCTCATATCAATGTGGATAGATCTATTGCACCATTCCATATCAAAATGTTGATACAATGATATACAACAAACTTAAATTACAGTTTTTTCATGTCACATCAAAATAGCATATACAATATAGGGAAACCATTCTGGACCTGCACACATTTTTCCAGTCTAAGGGCTTCTCACTTCTACAATAGAGTACATAGGCTATACACCAAAAGTTCTTGTTTTTGATGCATGTTTATATGTAAGTTCATTAACAGATTTGATTCATTGTTAACATTTCTACTCACATAGATTTGTGACAACTGCAAATGCCACAATTTCTTTCTTTTAAGAGTATAATGAAGGTGCCACCATTAACTTCACAGATTATGGTCATTGCTGCTTGAAACTATGGGTTCAAAATAGAGCTTCATCTCATTCCTGAAATTTGATACAAGATACAGATACGAGAGGAAAATAAGCTGCATTGATATTCCACGGCAATATGATATAAGAGTATGCAATAAGTCTGGACTCATCTTTAGACTACAGTGTTGGTAACTCTTGCTCAGGTAAAAGGAAATATATAATTATATGGACAATATTGTCTTCATTGCTGAAAAATATTAATCTACTAAATATTTTTTTCTGGTTCCTTGAAACCATTTCAGCATTTTTCTGTGTAAGTACTGTATTTAAATTTTATTGAAATTTTCTAAAGAAAATATTTTAAAATTTTAATTTCAGAAAATGTGTAAAGCTGTAACAGAAGCATTTGTACGCTTACATGAAATAGGATTAATTTATCGAAGTAATAGACTTGTTAATTGGTCTTGTGCATTACGTTCTGCTATATCTGATATTGAGGTAAACATTTTAAATTTAATAATAATCTTATACAATTTAAATTTATATTTTATGCATAAAAATAAAATTAATCAAGATTCATGCAGAGAGTGCTCATTGTAAATCATGCCAATACATGTCATTTATTATATCTACATATTGATTACATTATCTACATTGAGAAAGATAATAAACTAAATTGAATAAAACAATAAAAACAAAAGACAAATAAAACAAAAAGACAATGAAAATCAGACATTTTAATCATCAGATATAATTGATGTTTGTCATTAATTCAATTTAGTTTATTATCTTTCTCAATGTAGATAATGTAATCAATATGTAGATATAATAAATGACATGTATTGGCATGATTTACAATGAGCACTCTCTGCATGAATCTTGATTAATTTTATTTTTATGCATAAAATATAAATTTAAATTGTATAAGATTATTATTAAATTTAAAATGTTTACCTCAATATCAGATATAGCAGAACGTAATGCACAAGACCAATTAACAAGTCTATTACTTCGATAAATTAATCCTATTTCATGTAAGCGTACAAATGCTTCTGTTACAGCTTTACACATTTTCTGAAATTAAAATTTTAAAATATTTTCTTTAGAAAATTTCAATAAAATTTAAATACAGTACTTACACAGAAAAATGCTGAAATGGTTTCAAGGAACCAGAAAAAAATATTTAGTAGATTAATATTTTTCAGCAATGAAGACAATATTGTCCATATAATTATATATTTCCTTTTACCTGAGCAAGAGTTACCAACACTGTAGTCTAAAGATGAGTCCAGACTTATTGCATACTCTTATATCATATTGCCGTGGAATATCAATGCAGCTTATTTTCCTCTCGTATCTGTATCTTGTATCAAATTTCAGGAATGAGATGAAGCTCTATTTTGAACCCATAGTTTCAAGCAGCAATGACCATAATCTGTGAAGTTAATGGTGGCACCTTCATTATACTCTTAAAAGAAAGAAATTGTGGCATTTGCAGTTGTCACAAATCTATGTGAGTAGAAATGTTAACAATGAATCAAATCTGTTAATGAACTTACATATAAACATGCATCAAAAACAAGAACTTTTGGTGTATAGCCTATGTACTCTATTGTAGAAGTGAGAAGCCCTTAGACTGGAAAAATGTGTGCAGGTCCAGAATGGTTTCCCTATATTGTATATGCTATTTTGATGTGACATGAAAAAACTGTAATTTAAGTTTGTTGTATATCATTGTATCAACATTTTGATATGGAATGGTGCAATAGATCTATCCACATTGATATGAGGATACGCAACAAGTCTGAACCCACTTCAAGATGCTGCTCTATTTGCATAAATTTATTACAGTTGCAAATTGTTATTCAAACAACTGTCTATTGGTATTCCAGAAAATATAAAAAAATAAGTAAAAATTTAAAAGTGTTCTAGCAAATTGTTATTCTTAAAAATTTCAAAAAAATTATATTAAAGAAATGTTTTTAAGTCATTTATATTGATATTAAACAAGCTTTCAACTCTGTGTTACCTTCATGTCTGTTGGTCATCCTACAGAATAACTATGACATCCATCCTGAGTTAACTTTGAATAAATAATTATTTTTTATTACATTTATTTACAATTTATCTAGGTGGCATCTCCTTTTATCCATTTTCTCCTGTATATGTGATTTATCAATATTACTCAACAGCTTATTTCCTATTATTGATTTTATTACTAATAACCTTATTGTTAATTTACATGTTTTATTATATGTGGATGATCTAAAATTAATAAATACTTGTTTCCTAAGTGATGCAGTTAAATTTATTTGCACTTACTTCAGCTTCTTTGAAACTTTCAATTCATCCATCAATTCACAGAAAACAGTTGTCATGTTGTCATGTATAATCAGAATTCTCTTTTGAGTACCTTCACTATTAATGAACACCCAATCAAATATGTTGACAGAATTAATAATTCTGGAGTTTTGATTTTGTTAAATATCTAACTTATCAACCAGAATTTTCTTCATAATCAAGAGCTTGACAACTAGAGGGATTCTTTGGAGATATTATCATACTCTTCATGTACCATCCTCAGAGCTATTTTTTTTCTCTAATTTTCAGTCAGTAATTAACCATTGATCTGGTCTACTGCAGCTTCTAGTCTCTTACAAAAGATTACTGCTAAATTTGATAAAATTTATCTTTTCTAACAAACTTTCTAATTTACTTTATACTGATTCTGGAGAAGTTGTCAGATCTAGACAAAGTCCATCTTACTTCATTGTATTGAGTATTTTGAGACGATTACATTTTATAAATATTTTACTGGATTTTTATCTCCAGACAAACTAACTATAAGAATCCCTTCTTATAAACAAGAAATAATTTCTGCCTTGCTATTCCCATATAGAAACTTACTGTCTCCAGATAATCATTCTTTTTACAGACAATCATAATATCCATCTTGTCAAAACCCTTTCACTTTGAGACTTTCAGTTCTTTAAAAACTGTTGTAAACTTCTTACGGCATCCACAGTTAATCCTCATTATTGGTTTATTTGTTTTCATCCTTTTTTAACTTCTTTCCTCATTAATTTTTCCATAAAATTTACATCAGAGTAAAAAAGGATCTTATTTTCCTTTGTATGGTGTAATTTTATCAAGGAGATTGTTTTATTGTTGTGTTTTATACAGTAATCTCAAGTCCTTTAGAATTTTATTACTGTATTCAAAAATAAATAAAGTGTTTGTGACAGAACTATTTCATCTTAAAATGTAATATGTTTTCTAGCTCCTTGAAACTATTTCAGCTTAAATACTATGTATAAACTCAATTAATGAAGTAGTAGACTTACTCTAAATAAGTCTAAATAATACTGACTTCATTAATTCAAGTCTACTGACTTCAGACTAAAAACTGTTTTTAGCAATAGTAGATAAAATTTTAATTTCAAAATTTAAATATTTAAAATTTATTAAATCTTCCAATAATAAATAAAGATTATTTTCATTGTGTTGCTTCAAAAGGCCATTTCTTATATGTAATAAAAATTATGTTTAATAAAATAAAATTAAAAACATTCTTCTATTATAATTTTCATTTAAAGCTTCAATATACATATTTTGTTTTATTTTGGTTATATCATTTTCTGATAAAAATAAAACTTTTTAAATATTATAAAAAGTTTTTTAACTTAGTGATCTGAAAAACATTCCACTAATAAATCATTTGTCAATACCATATTTACTTGCATATAAGACGAGGTTTTTATACATTTATCACAGCTTCAAATTCCTAGATTGTCCTATACATGGAAGCAAAAGATTATTTGCATTTTTGCAAATAATTTTTGTGAACCATATATTTGCATTTTTTACCTGATGCTTACCCTCTTGTATTTAAAAACATAAGTATTTTATCTGGGTCATTTGAATCATTCTTGTATATTGTCAGGAGTAAAAATGAATAGCAATAGGAAAAGCAAAGCTTTTGAATTAAATCAAATCCAGACTGAAATTCCAAAATCATACAGGAGCCAGATATAAGTTTTAATCCAATCCCATGTGAAAACAGATGATTCAGAAATCAGAATTCAGAGAAACTCATAAGTGTAATAAACAGAAAACGGATTTGACTGTTAAGAGTCAGCAAAAAAAAGCTTCCCAATTGTCCAGCTTTATGTTAACAAATTATGTTGTCAATTTTACAAAATTTTTTTTTAAGTTTAAAAAGTTTAAAATGTCAGTAATTTTTGCAGGACAAGGTGTGCATTTACATTCATTTGATATTTTAAATGTTATTAAACAAATAAAAATTACAATTGTATTAATAACTCTAATTTTCTTTATTTTGATCTTTAAAGTTACACCTCATCCTATATGCAAGTAAATATGGTAGTTAATATTGATTTGTATGTAGGAAAACCTTCCATCTGACAAGAAAAATAAATAATAAACATGACAATGGAACATGGAAACACATTTCAGTTATGTCTGTATGTTCAGATCTTACTTAACATCCTAACTGGAATCTGATGTGTTTAAAGTTAAAAAGAAATATAATATAATTAATCCATTAACAAAATGCCAAAAACTTATAACTTCTCTTTGTTTCCAAGAAATATTATAAGCAGAAATGTACACTATAAACTGTCTTACAACTAATATCCAGGTACATCTCTCTCTCTGTAGTGTATGAATGAAAGTCTATGCAAAGAACACATCATAATTCTTGCTATATATATAATTGTAGAACTCTGATGAGATTACCATGATTGGGAATGCAAGATGCTTCAATGAAGAAAGTTAAAGTAGTTTCAGTGAGGATTGATAAGAGGATACAGTAGAGCCTCGATTATCCAACCCCCGATTAACCGACCGTCCTAGTCGGCAAATTTCAAATGTCCGCTAGTGATGTGGCGCTACAATATTTGGCTATGTCTTGGCTACTTTGATATTATTTTTGTTAATTTTTGCATGTTTTAGCTGGCATCAATGGCTTGACCATTGAAGGGAGGCCAGTATTTAAACGAGACTTTCTAATTATGATTGANTTACTTAATATATAAAATAAGATAAAATTATTTTAATACTTACAGTTCCTTGAGATATAAAGGGATCATCTACTGTTACAAAGTATGCTGGAATTCGATGACCCCACCATAACTGTCGAGAAATACACCAATCCCTAAAAATAATTGCAACACAAATCAAAACCAATTAGTCTGATCCCATATCTAATAACAGAATTGCATTAATTATAATTAGGTAATAAAATTAGAGCAATATGTAAAATGTCTGTATTTCATAAAAATAAATTTTAAATAATCAGAACTTAATTGAAACTTTAAGCAATAAGAGAAATGTTCCAATGTAGAAATTATTTAATAATTTTTCATTGATAACAGTCATGATCTGATATATAACAGCTAAGATATGTAACCAACTGTAATTTATGTGAACTTTTAGTTCCTGAAAAACTAATTAACTTAGATGGCCAAGAATGTTTTAAGCATCAGCCTATCACTCCAGAAAACCAGAGATTAAATCTGGTGAGCAACTTTTCAGGAATTTTTCACAAGTGGATGTGTCAGGCCAATTTTTCAGAACCTAGCAACCTCCATTGTGGGCCTGGATGAACTCACAATGAGTATGAGAAAAAGATCCTCTTATTTCTCACATGGTGGAAAGAGTCAAAAATGAAAAAAAATTTATAAAACGAAAATACAGTAGTCCCAGAAACTTGATCTTCAATAATGTGACATTCCATAAAATCATCTTGTTGTCAAAAATAAATAAATAATAAATGTAATCTAATTCTTACATCTATAACTTAACACTAGGATAAAATAAGTTATTGTTCTTTACTAGTGACACTTGATAATAGCATCAATTCTGTGTGTTAACAAAGAATATAATTCCTTTCCAAGATGCCACTGTAAAACATCATGACATCAACTTGAAAGTAGCCATTAAACAGCCAATATTTTTTTAAATTAAAATTTAATGGTAAGTAAGCTACTAATGATATGTAGTTAATATGTATATGAATCTGCACATGTAATACTTTTATGAAAATTCAGCTATTTAGACTAGTATCATAGCTTTCCATAGTCATTTTCTATAACTCATCACCTTCTCAGTCCACATTAAGTGGAATTTGTGGGACTCTATTGTACTAATTATAATTTCATCATTATTTGCAATCTTCTATTAATGTTATAATTTAATATATAATAAAGTTTTTCAACATTCTAATTATTTCAAATTTGTATGCAAATAATTATTGATTACTTAAGTGTTTTGAATTTAAATAAAAATTATAATTTAAAGTAAAGAAATTTACTTTTCTTTTGAAAAGAATTATTATAATTTCCTGCCCATTATCTGTAGCAGCATATAATCTGTAGAGCAAGTTTTCATTGATAAAAAAATTTTTTGTCATCTAATTTGCACAATATATAAACATCTTACAAACCCAATGTATTAATAATCATCCAACCATCAGCCAAATTAATCTAGCAATATTATGCATAATATTGCCTGATTAATTTGACTGATGGTTAGATAATTTGCTTAATTGTTTATTTGCTTCATTGGCTCATCAGCAATGAGATAATGCAATTTGTAAAAACATTTAATAAGAAAAAGTATTCCAAAATTTAGAAAAGAGACTATATGATTCATTTTAAAACAATACAATAAAAATTTAAAACCCAGAATTATGAAATGCAGTAAATCACTAATTTACAACCTCGTGAAGCTGGTATATTAAAAAATATCATTTTCAAGTTCAACACAATTGATTGTACTTAGTAATGGCATGGTATAACAATTACATGATAACTTTAATACTGCAATGGATAATAAATGCATATTATTTAACAATAATGTATAAATTTATTCATGTTTAACTACAACTCAGATTTGAACTATATTAGACTCAAAAACTGATAACAAACCTTTTTTTTCAGAGTTGCTTGATATAGAATTATCATTCTAATCTCAAATTTATAATAGAATTAAATTGAATTTTATTATTACATCACTTTAAAAAATTAAATAAATAAAAAGTAACAATAGAAATAGTATTTTCTTAGAACAATGTTGCCGTTGAGAACATATCACACAGGAACACTTTCAGAGGAAAAAGGTTGTTTTATTGGTGTGAACAGATATGCATTTCGGGCTTAACACCCCTCTTCAGTCCTGAGATAGCGACAGTTAAACCAACATGACTCATAAGAAGATATACATGTAGTTGAAAAAGAAAAAAAGGAGCTAAAAGTTCTTTTGGCTCCACACATATACACATTAGGTTAGTATAGCATGTGCTGTAGGATGTGAAATAATTCTGATAAGATGTACAAAGAACATAGACAAGATATGAGAGGTTAAAAGGAAGTGAGTAATCCTTGTAACATACCTGTATGACTATGTAAGTTAAATATCTAGAGCTAAGCTTAAAACATATTTTAACAAAGAATAGATTGGAGATGTTATTTTTGTATGGCTAATTGACGTGTAAACAATCATATTCCATCTGCTAGTAGAAGTGAATATACCCTTGCCCATAACAATAAGATACCTTTCATGTTTTATCATGTTGAGAAGACTTCTTAATTTAACAAAAAGTAAAATGATTTTACTTTTTTGATGATATAAAAAATTGTCACAGATTATATACCATAGTTATAATCCAAGGCATTAAAATTGGAAGGATTTTATAAACACTTAATCCACAGATTATAGACAGGAAATTATGATAACAGGAAACCCTAATCATCTTTAATGGTCCAACCCTGGTATTTTGTATTGTTCTTTACAACTGTTCAATTCAATTTCAGTTATAGAAAATTATTTGTAGAGAATAAATTATATTACAGTATTTTAAAACTAAAGAATAATTTTCAAATTGCTTTTTGGTTTATTTTAGACCAAAAGTAATTTGAGCAAAGAGGTTAAACCTAAAAAATTTTTAGTATTTTTGGTATATAATATCAATTTGTTGTTATGTTTGCATGTCTATTTCACTATTTTCTTCTTGATTAGTTCTTAAAAAAAAAAAAACACCATAAAAGCTCATTAGTGTATATTTTTTTATCACAAATTTTTGTTCATAACTAATCAGGTTTTTAAAACTTCTATAAATAAATTGCCATACTAACCTAATGTTTTCTAGCCAATGATACCATGTTTTCTCATGCATTTCAGGGATAATTTTCAAAGATCCATTTCGGACAGCCTACATAAAAATATAAAAAGTTAAAATTTTGCATATACAAAGTCATAACCACTTCCAGAGAAAATAATATAGTAATTTATTATAATAATTTTCAATATTAGTTTTACTGATTATTAATTGCTAGAAGGAAATTATAATTTTCACTCTTACTATATTTAACTAACACTAGATTACATCAATTACAGGTTTCTAGAAATGGTTTTAAGAAACCTGATGATGGTCTTATAGGAATAGGCTGAAAACATTAGTAATTAAAAATTTTCTCTCAACAAATGCATAGGTGGTCATAAATTTGTAATTTATTCTGTTGAGCACATCTGAACTGTACATCAATTACATTTTTCATAATAATCATTTAATTTTTTTTGCAAAAATTTCTCAACGTATGATGATAAAAATATTTACAATTTCAAATTTATACAAAAAATAATAAATTTATTAGCATACTTTACACAAAATTATTCTATAAACTAAATTAGTCAACAATGACTTTCTATGCTTGAACTATTGTAAAATTTATATATAATAATATATCACATTGTCCTAAATATTAGTCAATGTTTCTTCCCAATTTTAAAATAGAAAAAGAAATCCAGCAATGAGTTGCATAACTTTCCCAGCAAAAAATTTTAAATTGAGATGGTGCCATCTGTTATTTTGTTTTAAAAACTTTTTATATTATGAATTACTATAAAATGATCGAAAGTTTAATTTTGAGAGTAGAGATGTGTTTTATAAAAACATTGTAAATGCTAATAACGAATAAAATCTTCATTAAGTCTGACCTCACTCAAGATATGACACAAGATCCCCTCTATCTCCTCACCCCTTGACCTGTACCACCAAAATTCAATAGCATCAATCTGCTAATACAGAAATCTCACTGCAAAATTTCAGAAATTTTTGATAAAAAGCACAAGAGTTATTACCCTTCAAAATGGCTGAACAAAATCATTCCAACACTCACCCATATACACACACATTAACATACAAAAAAAAAAAAAAAAAAAAAAAACCAACTTTATTTGCATTTCTTAATATTTCAGGGTCTCAAGTACAAAAATGTAAAATTAAAATTTTGGAAATCATTTTTTGATTGCCATACTTTCCCTCTGTTATAATAGTCTGGAAAAAAAAATTGCTCGAGTCTCAACTTATATTCAAATCCAATTTAACCTTTCTTCAATTTCAATAACTGTCTGTAATACACATCACATAGAGTTAAACTAATGCTAAAATTCAGTGCATCAATTGTTTAGCAATGCTATCATCAGCCAAGTTATGACCTGTCATGCTGCAGTTTGAAAATTATGTACAGGAATTAAGCCTAAGTGTTTGGCATGATTGTGAATAATTGTTTAGTTAATTGCCTTTATCATATTCAACAAAATTTTTTTCGTAACTCCTTTTTTTTTTTTTATCTTACTCTTAGGAGTCTTTACTAATTGAGTAATCATCAAAACCTGAAGGAAGGTTTGCTGAAAATTTAACACAAAATTTATTCTGTTGTAAAGTGTAAATTTCTATTAAAATTATAAATTTATATATATGATATGGTTATATGTTTTAGACTTTATAAGTGTTTTATAAAGTCTAAAACACACATAAATTTATGTATTTGATATGATTAATTACAATAGAAATTTATGTGACTTTATATATATGAGTTTAAAAATAATGTAAAATATAATCTGAAAATATCAAAATGATCATTTCAGAATAGAAATCCTTAAAACTAAATATACAAAAAATTTATTTTTCTTGAATTGAGTTATGAAATTTTTTCTATCTCTAAAATGAAGATATAAGTTAAATATAAAGGCAAATGTAGAAAGTTTTATAGCATCATATATAATAAATAATTAATTAAATGTAGGAAATATTTAATAAATTTTTCTAAAATTTTCATAATTATATTTACTTACTTGAGCAGCCTTTTGTGCCATATCATTACAATTTAAAAACCATTGAACTTTCAAAAGTGGTTCTACAATATCTTTTGAACGACTAAAAATACACAAAAAAAAATAAAATAATAATAATAATAAAAAATAAAAAAACACTAAAAATATTAAATATACAATATTCAAAACTTATTCAAAAGAATTATAAAAATTGTTTACATACTTGCAAATGGGTACTACCATAGGATTATCTTTGCAATCTCTATATAATCCAATATCTTCAAGTGCTTTTAACACAGCTTTTCTTGCTTCAAAACGCTTTAACCCCTATATTTAAGAATATATAATTTCAAAAAGAAGTATTCAGGAATTTATTTGAAAAAACTAAAATTAAAATCTTTGAATTAGTTGAACTGACTGTAAATTGTCCACAGTTGTTTGTGATAATTCCTCCATCATCAAGTATATTAATAAAAGGTAAATTATGTCTTTTTCCTACTTCATAATCATTATGGTCATGAGCTGGGGTAATCTTTACAGCACCTATAAATAAATATTATATTATTATAAAAATTTAATAATACAGATAGTCCTCAGTAATGCATTTTAGTTTTTACATAATTTACAAATTATGTATAGTTCTTGTACTGTACATAATTTTTTCAGTATAATACAATTCAATGAAAAGCCTTTCTAGATGCCACATGGAAACTAGCCTAACACCATCCTTGTATTATAGTTTCCCAACTGTTCTTGAATTATCAGCTTCAATATTTATTTAAAGTTTCTTTGATCTTCTAGAATAATTATTGTCAATTAATTTAACCCACTATTTAATGTATGGTGATGTTAATGATTCAGCACATAAAGGAAATCTGAGGTTTCAATATAGTAGCCCTTGCACAAAGATATGCTCAAACCATAAGATGGGATCTCAGTTTATGACTTAAACAAATAATAAGAGTCAAAGCAATCTTATATATGTAGACTGGAGTTCAGGAATGCATCTGACCATTATTCATATATTCTTACGAGATATAAACTTTTGTTTAATGTACTTTCACTTAATAGTATACTTTCAACAAACATTTACTGCACTAACTGAGAATTATCTGTGTTTCTTTGATTATTATTCTATGCTTTTCTTCAAAATAAAATTTACCTGTGCCAAAATTTGGATCAACAAATTTATCACAGACAATTGGCATTCGTCGATTACAGAATGGATGAATAACAAATTTTCCATGGAGATGTTTATACCTTTGATCATCAGGATGTACAGCAACAGCAGTATCACCTAACATTGTTTCAATTCTAGTAGTAGCTACTACTATTTCTTCTGCTGTAATAATAATAATAAAAATTTAATAAAGAGAATTTAAAATTATTAAAATTACCACAATAAAAATTATCTATCATACATGAATTTTCAATTTTATAAGCAAATGATATAAGTACACCAAATTCTACTTTTTCTTTCATTCCTGGCACACTTAATAATGTTCTACCAGACAATTCCAATTTATCTACCTAAAAAAATTAAAATGATTAATTAATGTTAAATAATTGCATTATTTAAATTTAACTAAATAAATTAAAAAGTTATTAAACAAATAATTTTTGGCACAGAATATTTGTTTAATTTTGAGAAATCTTTTAATGACTTATTCATATTAAAAATTTGCATTGATTTGACAACACTTAAGCAATTAGAAAATGAGTATTAAAAATAAAAAGATAAGAGGAAAAGAGAAATATTTTATTTATATTACTGTTATTAATCAAACATTTCAGTAGGACAAAGATCAAGTAGCAGTAGGACTAAAATATGATCATAGCTAAAGCAATAAAAAGCAGAAACAATAATAAAACCATATCATTAATCAATTTATACACATCAAAAGAAAATGAGGAATGTATAATTAAAGTGCAAACTTTTAAAACTAGCAAAATTGTATTTAATTTGACTAGTACTTTTGTTTTAAATATGGATAAGCTTTAGGTTTACTTAATAATGAAATAGAATATACATTTAAATGCATTTAGAATAAATAGAATAATTAAAACTGCTATAAATGTATGTTCCATTTTGTTATTGAGTAGACATGAAGATGATCCCAATTTGGATCAAAAGCATTAGTAAAATAAAAAGTTTTGCTAGTTTACAAGATTTAGCTTTATTATTATTATTTTATTAACCAGTTTAATGAGATTATTATTATATATTATATATACAGTTGTTTACAAAAGTTTAAGACCACACATAGAAAAACCAGATCTAATAGAATTTTATTGCAGGAGCTTCTTAGTGATCATACAACAATTCTTCTTATCACATGGCCATCACATGGAGAGGTATTTTCAGGCAACCACTCCTCTTTCAGTCAGTGAATTCTCCAGAACTTTAAACTTACTGATAGCTTGATGAACAGCTGTCTTGCTAATGTTTACTCTAGAACTTATTTGACGTTCAGAAAAACCAACTTTATGCAGTGTCACTATTTTCCTGCCCTTTTTGCAATAGTGAGTGAATGTTTCTTACCCATTATAATAATTAAAGTACAGTGCTGTCTATACCAAAATCGAGTCAACAACTGCCGATAAACTGCATGTGCTTGTTTATTTATACCAGCAGAATGCATCTGATGCAATCAATACACGAGATGAGGTAATAATCTATGCAAATGGTGAAATATGTAAAATACTGGAAAATGGCTAGTGGTCTTAAACTTTTGTAAATGACTGTATATATATATATATACAGTCATTTAATATTTAAAATTATCATCATCTTTCTTTAGTTCTTATACTATATATATATATATATATATATACACATATTGATTACATTATCTACATTGAGAAAGATAATAAACTAAATTGAATAAAACAATAAAAACAAAAGACAAATAAAACAAAAAGACAATGAAAATCAGACATTTTAATCATCAGATATAATTGATGTTTGTCATTAATTCAATTTAGTTTATTATCTTTCTCAATGTAGATAATGTAATCAATATGTAGATATAATAAATGACATGTATTGGCATGATTTACAATGAGCACTCTCTGCATGAATCTTGATTAATTTTATTTTTATGCATAAAATATAAATTTAAATTGTATAAGATTATTATTAAATTTAAAATGTTTACCTCAATATCAGATATAGCAGAACGTAATGCACAAGACCAATTAACAAGTCTATTACTTCGATAAATTAATCCTATTTCATGTAAGCGTACAAATGCTTCTGTTACAGCTTTACACATTTTCTGAAATTAAAATTTTAAAATATTTTCTTTAGAAAATTTCAATAAAATTTAAATACAGTACTTACACAGAAAAATGCTGAAATGGTTTCAAGGAACCAGAAAAAAATATTTAGTAGATTAATATTTTTCAGCAATGAAGACAATATTGTCCATATAATTATATATTTCCTTTTACCTGAGCAAGAGTTACCAACACTGTAGTCTAAAGATGAGTCCAGACTTATTGCATACTCTTATATCATATTGCCGTGGAATATCAATGCAGCTTATTTTCCTCTCGTATCTGTATCTTGTATCAAATTTCAGGAATGAGATGAAGCTCTATTTTGAACCCATAGTTTCAAGCAGCAATGACCATAATCTGTGAAGTTAATGGTGGCACCTTCATTATACTCTTAAAAGAAAGAAATTGTGGCATTTGCAGTTGTCACAAATCTATGTGAGTAGAAATGTTAACAATGAATCAAATCTGTTAATGAACTTACATATAAACATGCATCAAAAACAAGAACTTTTGGTGTATAGCCTATGTACTCTATTGTAGAAGTGAGAAGCCCTTAGACTGGAAAAATGTGTGCAGGTCCAGAATGGTTTCCCTATATTGTATATGCTATTTTGATGTGACATGAAAAAACTGTAATTTAAGTTTGTTGTATATCATTGTATCAACATTTTGATATGGAATGGTGCAATAGATCTATCCACATTGATATGAGGATACGCAACAAGTCTGAACCCACTTCAAGATGCTGCTCTATTTGCATAAATTTATTACAGTTGCAAATTGTTATTCAAACAACTGTCTATTGGTATTCCAGAAAATATAAAAAAATAAGTAAAAATTTAAAAGTGTTCTAGCAAATTGTTATTCTTAAAAATTTCAAAAAAATTATATTAAAGAAATGTTTTTAAGTCATTTATATTGATATTAAACAAGCTTTCAACTCTGTGTTACCTTCATGTCTGTTGGTCATCCTACAGAATAACTATGACATCCATCCTGAGTTAACTTTGAATAAATAATTATTTTTTATTACATTTATTTACAATTTATCTAGGTGGCATCTCCTTTTATCCATTTTCTCCTGTATATGTGATTTATCAATATTACTCAACAGCTTATTTCCTATTATTGATTTTATTACTAATAACCTTATTGTTAATTTACATGTTTTATTATATGTGGATGATCTAAAATTAATAAATACTTGTTTCCTAAGTGATGCAGTTAAATTTATTTGCACTTACTTCAGCTTCTTTGAAACTTTCAATTCATCCATCAATTCACAGAAAACAGTTGTCATGTTGTCATGTATAATCAGAATTCTCTTTTGAGTACCTTCACTATTAATGAACACCCAATCAAATATGTTGACAGAATTAATAATTCTGGAGTTTTGATTTTGTTAAATATCTAACTTATCAACCAGAATTTTCTTCATAATCAAGAGCTTGACAACTAGAGGGATTCTTTGGAGATATTATCATACTCTTCATGTACCATCCTCAGAGCTATTTTTTTTCTCTAATTTTCAGTCAGTAATTAACCATTGATCTGGTCTACTGCAGCTTCTAGTCTCTTACAAAAGATTACTGCTAAATTTGATAAAATTTATCTTTTCTAACAAACTTTCTAATTTACTTTATACTGATTCTGGAGAAGTTGTCAGATCTAGACAAAGTCCATCTTACTTCATTGTATTGAGTATTTTGAGACGATTACATTTTATAAATATTTTACTGGATTTTTATCTCCAGACAAACTAACTATAAGAATCCCTTCTTATAAACAAGAAATAATTTCTGCCTTGCTATTCCCATATAGAAACTTACTGTCTCCAGATAATCATTCTTTTTACAGACAATCATAATATCCATCTTGTCAAAACCCTTTCACTTTGAGACTTTCAGTTCTTTAAAAACTGTTGTAAACTTCTTACGGCATCCACAGTTAATCCTCATTATTGGTTTATTTGTTTTCATCCTTTTTTAACTTCTTTCCTCATTAATTTTTCCATAAAATTTACATCAGAGTAAAAAAGGATCTTATTTTCCTTTGTATGGTGTAATTTTATCAAGGAGATTGTTTTATTGTTGTGTTTTATACAGTAATCTCAAGTCCTTTAGAATTTTATTACTGTATTCAAAAATAAATAAAGTGTTTGTGACAGAACTATTTCATCTTAAAATGTAATATGTTTTCTAGCTCCTTGAAACTATTTCAGCTTAAATACTATGTATAAACTCAATTAATGAAGTAGTAGACTTACTCTAAATAAGTCTAAATAATACTGACTTCATTAATTCAAGTCTACTGACTTCAGACTAAAAACTGTTTTTAGCAATAGTAGATAAAATTTTAATTTCAAAATTTAAATATTTAAAATTTATTAAATCTTCCAATAATAAATAAAGATTATTTTCATTGTGTTGCTTCAAAAGGCCATTTCTTATATGTAATAAAAATTATGTTTAATAAAATAAAATTAAAAACATTCTTCTATTATAATTTTCATTTAAAGCTTCAATATACATATTTTGTTTTATTTTGGTTATATCATTTTCTGATAAAAATAAAACTTTTTAAATATTATAAAAAGTTTTTTAACTTAGTGATCTGAAAAACATTCCACTAATAAATCATTTGTCAATACCATATTTACTTGCATATAAGACGAGGTTTTTATACATTTATCACAGCTTCAAATTCCTAGATTGTCCTATACATGGAAGCAAAAGATTATTTGCATTTTTGCAAATAATTTTTGTGAACCATATATTTGCATTTTTTACCTGATGCTTACCCTCTTGTATTTAAAAACATAAGTATTTTATCTGGGTCATTTGAATCATTCTTGTATATTGTCAGGAGTAAAAATGAATAGCAATAGGAAAAGCAAAGCTTTTGAATTAAATCAAATCCAGACTGAAATTCCAAAATCATACAGGAGCCAGATATAAGTTTTAATCCAATCCCATGTGAAAACAGATGATTCAGAAATCAGAATTCAGAGAAACTCATAAGTGTAATAAACAGAAAACGGATTTGACTGTTAAGAGTCAGCAAAAAAAAGCTTCCCAATTGTCCAGCTTTATGTTAACAAATTATGTTGTCAATTTTACAAAATTTTTTTTTAAGTTTAAAAAGTTTAAAATGTCAGTAATTTTTGCAGGACAAGGTGTGCATTTACATTCATTTGATATTTTAAATGTTATTAAACAAATAAAAATTACAATTGTATTAATAACTCTAATTTTCTTTATTTTGATCTTTAAAGTTACACCTCATCCTATATGCAAGTAAATATGGTAGTTAATATTGATTTGTATGTAGGAAAACCTTCCATCTGACAAGAAAAATAAATAATAAACATGACAATGGAACATGGAAACACATTTCAGTTATGTCTGTATGTTCAGATCTTACTTAACATCCTAACTGGAATCTGATGTGTTTAAAGTTAAAAAGAAATATAATATAATTAATCCATTAACAAAATGCCAAAAACTTATAACTTCTCTTTGTTTCCAAGAAATATTATAAGCAGAAATGTACACTATAAACTGTCTTACAACTAATATCCAGGTACATCTCTCTCTCTGTAGTGTATGAATGAAAGTCTATGCAAAGAACACATCATAATTCTTGCTATATATATAATTGTAGAACTCTGATGAGATTACCATGATTGGGAATGCAAGATGCTTCAATGAAGAAAGTTAAAGTAGTTTCAGTGAGGATTGATAAGAGGATACAGTAGAGCCTCGATTATCCAACCCCCGATTAACCGACCGTCCTAGTCGGCAAATTTCAAATGTCCGCTAGTGATGTGGCGCTACAATATTTGGCTATGTCTTGGCTACTTTGATATTATTTTTGTTAATTTTTGCATGTTTTAGCTGGCATCAATGGCTTGACCATTGAAGGGAGGCCAGTATTTAAACGAGACTTTCTAATTATGATTGATTGTTTGTTTCGTGAGCAATAAAATAATTTAAAAATAATTTTTAATGATACAATAGCGACGATTATTATTTAAAAAAATTTTTGTTAGGCTTAACATCGATGAAAATTCAACGCGAAGTAGGTTAATAGCGATATACTAATATACTAATTACATGGGATATAATAATATACTACACTAATAATGGATTTTTTCATACTTTTCAGTTATCCGACTTTTCAATTATTCGACCAACCCCAGTCCCCAATTGGGTCGGATAATTGAGGCTCTACTGTACTACATTAGCAATAGCTTCACACATGACATTTCAGCAGCATCAAAGATCTCTAGGTTTATAGTTTCTGATGTGATAAGCAAATAAGAGCAAACATTGCCAAGAAATAGCCTGATAAATTTCAAAGCTAATGGAACATGGTAGAAAAGTTCTTCAAAGAACTGTGTGCATAATTCAGCATTGTCTCAAGTCACTAAAACCCTATGTAAGACTATTAGAACTAGTGTGCACTTCAGCATATGGCACAGAACACTGTATAATTACTTCTTTTATGCTGCTGTCTATACACAAGATGTTAATCATGTCAAATAAAGCCAGAGGCTGATTTATTGGGTGTCAGAAGCATCGATCTATGATGTTTAAAATGTAAGCATGGCAGAAATTGGCAGAAAGCATATATTATTCTGGCAAAAAAGTTTAGTGGAAATGGCATAATTGTTTGAGACTATTATTCATGTCTTAGCTTGGGTCCATTAATCAATTTAGACAAAATCATGAATGCTGGACTTTAGATGATTATACAATATCAACATTGTAGCAATACTTTAGGAAAAGTCTATACATCTACCAGTAGGACAATGAACTTCATCTCAGTAATCAAATTTTTATAGATTAATTTGAGGATGGAGTTAAAAAAAAGTTGGACTGGTCATCCAGAATCCTGACTTAAATCCTACATGAACTTGAAACTGGATTGCCAGGTTTCTGTAAAAATAGCTTGCCCTAAAATAAAGCTCAATTGGTCACATTGCTTTGGAAGTTGAATGGTGGAACATGATGCTGGATATTTTCTAAACAATTATGGAGAATATGTAACAAAGACTTGTAACTAACACACAAGCAAAAAATTTTAGCATACGATATTAAATCATTTGCTAGTACAGATTATGGAAGTATTGAAAAGTTTGCAAATTTTTCTAGTAGAAAAGAGAATTTTGATAAATTAAACATATTTTATTCTATATAGTCACCTCTCAACTCTACAAATTTATTACAAGTTTCTCCAATTTTTTAATCCCTTCAAAAAGAACTCCTTAGGTTGTCTAACTAAAGAGCCATTGGAGCTGTGGCCCTCTGCTGTCCCAATTTCATCCCTTCATTCGACTTGGAAAGAGATGATAATTCAAGCGAGTAAGATTCAGTGAATAGTCAGGATGCAACAACCCAAACCCCAAATCCTTGATTTTTTTGGTTGTAAGGTTTGATGTAAGGTTTTGATGGCTGTATGGGTAGAGATGGGTAGAAATTATTATTTTGTCATGCCATATTTTTATAAAGATATCAGCACAAAGAAATATCTCCTTGCAGTTTCCATGGAGTATGACAGAAATTATTATTTTGAGTCTTGCAGAAAAAGTACACTTTAACTCAGCTTTCTATGCTGTTTTTCCTTCAAGATCTCTTGCAATTCATTCAATAGAAACAAGTAATAAATGACATTGATTTCTCTGGTCCTTTGGCAGGTGCTGTACTAAAGTGATCCCATCTTTGTTCTTCAATACCTACAATTTTTCTGGACACAAAACTTATTTGGCTGGAAAGACCCTCTATGATACCATTTCTTTGATTGTTCCTTTATCTCTAGATCATAGTGATGCAGCCATGTTTTATCAGTAGTTACTTATTATTCTATAAACTCTGTAGCATTGGCATGAAACTATACCAAAATGGCTTTGAAGGCAATCATCTAATTCCATGTTTAGTAGCATTGAGAAGTTTCAGAATCCATTTTACAGAGAGCTTTTGCAAGTAAAAACATCAAAAATTATGCATGGAAATCCTTTCATAAAAAAATCAGCAAGATTTTGTCAATCATTTTGACTGAAATGCAGTTGCAGGCCTGGGAGTGCCATTTCCCCTTTGAAAAAGTGAGAAAAGTGAGTTGAAATACAGAATAAGTGAGTAAAAAGTGAGTGCAATACAAGTAGCCCTCGGTTTATGCTGGCTCAATTTATGTCGATTCACAATAACTCCGCTGCGCAATTCACCATTTCGCGGTGTAATTCCCCAATTTTCCCTATGCTAGACTGATTTTCATTTCAGTGTCGACGTATTTACCGAGCCGCAACATTGTATATTAGTTACAAAAGATTTTCTGTTTAATATTATTGGGTATGCATACATTTGCATTAAATTAATATTAAAATACTAAACATTTAGGTACCCACGAGTCAAGTTATTAAACTTAATAGTCCAACAAATGGTGTCTGAATCAATAGTGCCAATGAATGTATCCCGTATCAGATCGTTCAGGAAAACACTTTACGACGCAGTAGCACTTCCAGCGATCACAAATCATCATTAGTGAGACAAATCTACTTTTCATTGGCCAGACGATATCTATCTCTTCTTAGCCACCTTCAATTTTCCTGCTCAAACTGACCTTATATATGGGCTAC